TTTATAAACGTTTTCAAAACTCGTTATTCATTTCACGACAGGGGCGGGGCCATATCTAACACAGTACGTGTGACGTCACACGCACTCGTCACTGCATTTGAAATAAAAATGAGCGATTATTTCATACTATTTCACGTAAAAACATCGAGCTCGCTTTGAGGCTTTGCCTTTTTCATATTAAATTTATTTCAAACTGTATTTCCTACAATGTAATTAAACAGTAGTAAACTCAAGTTAAAAATTGTGCTTCGTGAGTGTCAATGCTTTATGGTATATATTTTTTTCAACGATACAGTATTTTCTGTAAGCACGAAATGTATGAGAAGGCACGAATGTATGAGAAAAGGGGATATTTATAACTTTAGTAAGAGTAAAGCACTCTAAAACGAAATTATATGGACAAAATTGTCTAAAAGGTTAAAGCAAAAGTCAATTGTGAAAAATGAAATATCAACTGAAAATATTTCCTTCGATTCTACCTCTGCAAACAACTAAGCAATATCTGTGATGCAAACTCAAACAAGTGGTCATTTTCCAGGAAGTTGCAGCATACTCATTCCCGCCATGTGTCAGACGCTTGAATGCCACTAACAATATATAAGGCAAGCTTTTGGGCGATGCAGAGTGATGCTGGACGGAACAGGGTTGTCGTTCTTTGTAAGGACTGTCTCAAAAGTAGGCGCCTCTTAATTTTCCATACGGAAATACAGGGAAGCAGCTTAACAGTTGTGCCCTGATTGATATAACTAAAGGATGATGAGAAAAATAAGTCATTAAGGAAGGAAAGAAAAAATAACTTTTTACATCTTTGTGTCGTGTGTTGTTTTCTCTTTAAAATAATAGTGCATTTTACTAAGTCTGATTAGGCCGACCGCTTTCAATTAAAGCAAGCATGGCCTGGTTTGATTAACATGTTCATATTGATGTCCTTTAGCGTATACTGATAACTTAGTACGATATAAAATAAACGAAAATGGATCACAAGGTTGCTAAATTGCCTGCTTGTCCAGGCTCGTTTTTGTGCCAACAAAACTTTTATAATTTCATATCTGAAATCGAATCATTAGAATTCTTATACATCATTTAAGCTGCATGTTTGGCAAAGGCCAACACAAACTTTCAATTAAATTCAAAGTCAAGCACTACTGTAAATATTACAGTCAATTTATTTTATGAAATCGATGCAAGATAAAAGATGAAACGCGGTATATTTCTGCGATAACGCCTCGCCATCATCTTCCCGGAGAGACTTCTAGAACCTCTTGAAAAGGCTCGATAAACTCGTGCTAAAATAATGTAAATTATAATACCCTTGTCTGGAGATAAAACTTTTATAAAACTGCAGTGCAAGCATAACACACAATTCTCTTTCTTCACTGAATAATTTAGACACTTTTTTCTCTTAACATAATGGGACCTTGTATCGAATGAAAGACGCGCACATGGGATATGTAACTTGTTTCCCATCGTATGTGACACTTGGTAAACAATAGCATCTTAGCGCTTTGATCCCACCGACAGAGTGTAAATACTGCTCTATAAAGACTCACATTGAGGCTTACTATTGTAAACATCCCATCAGATATGGATTTCAATTTTCATTTTCAAAAAGTTTCTGAAGGGATCGATAGATACCCGCTAAGCACTGTATAGATTAAGGTTCCAGGATCTGCGATCGAATTTTGGACATCATTCAGACGCTTGTTTGGAAAACTTTTAGCAAAATATGGTTATCGTAATCAACAAATCGTTCCATTCAGCAAGAAGGAGGAAGATTCATCTTAATTTGTAAGCTAGCTGTTATAAAGGTCAAGCTGTAACGCAATGCCCGATGTCGCGTCGATAGGCACCATGATGAGGAGAAGCAACAGTCAGTCTAATGCACTTTTTTAAAAGTGCCAGATCAAGTTTGAGTAGACACTGGTACCTTATCAACTAGCTATATTGAGTCAAAACCGTTGTATGCTCACTTCTTAGTCGGACAACCCTAACGGTGTTACTTGACGTGGTGCGTTACAGGACTTGAATAGTCCTTAAATAATTTCTTCCTACAATTCCCTTTCACTAAAGTATACACTAAAGAAGGGAACATCAAAGATTACCAACCCCTTTATCGCTGCTGTATCCCCATTATCAGCAATGAGGCAATTCAGTTGTTTGTCGACTTCAGAACAGGATATCGTAACCATGGTCCTTTATTGACAAAGATCGTGAATTTGATATTTATATAAGTAATATAGCGACGTATCAGTACCACAATTCGGGGAGCTGTTTAATAAAACTAATAAATGTTCGTGCCATATCTTCAGTTACGTCATCGTCTCGTACTAAATCAGTAAAACCCTTCGTCAAGGATGGTGAACATCCTCTTAAGTACCTAATTAATTGTTGTAAATTCTTGTTGTCAAATTCAAAGCGAAAGATTTCGATGAGTTATAAAAAATCATTGTAAAAATAGCAGACAAAACTTAATTTATTGTATAAAAACTTTTATTAAATAACACAAATTTCTATTTTTAAATTTCTTTACTATTGTTCCATATTATATGTTGCAAGAAGCTTTGAGAAGAATTAGCTCACGTGCGTTATGCAGCCTTACTTCCGGTATCATGCAGCAAACATTTTTTTCTTTTGCAAAAATATTTCATCAGGACGCATTGCTTGTGATACTGCGGAAGGGAACTTTTATCAGTGAAAATCAATGCTGTACCGAAATCTAGGGATTAAATGCTGAGATAAATTTATTGAAAGTCTGGATTGAAATTCCGAGGCAGACGACAACCCTGAACACAACATTGATTTTAGGATGCTTGATAATGTTTACATAAACCGGCGAAATGACAATTGACGTGATTTACAGCGATTTAGTACGTCTCATCAACTCATTTGTGGCCCATCCAGGGGTCTTTACTTTCCAACTTCAAACGAACTTACAATGTTATACCTTAAGTATGGGGAACGCGTCGCGCCATTTTCATGTTTCTTACATTGTATTTAAAGAGTCCGGGTAAAGAATGGTGACAAATTAAATATCTCTTGCAGAAAAACAGGGTTTGTTGACAATAACTTCCAAAATGAATGTAATAGTTAAATAATATCTAATAATGTTACTTAGATACACTCTCTAAGATTTATAAAGGCCCTAATGGCTGTTAGCATGCTACGCATATATAAACCATCTACATTTTCTTGAAGAAATGCCATTCAAATATTAATAGCTAAGCTACTAGTATATGGAAACATACACAATAAAAGAACGAAGTTTATGGGGTTTTAATTTAAAACCCGCTTTCATATTCCTACATAATAATGTATAATTGCAAAAGCATACTACATAGTCAAATTGTCGATGCAATATATTTAGATTTTTATCTACACAAAAGTTTGTTTGAAATTTCTATGGTAACCACTATCTTACAGAATCAATAAACTTAGGTTAAAAAGTTATCGAACTTATCGGCCGACACAAACATTTATAACAGTTCCATCTAATTAGAGTTTATTAAAATACCAATATCTTTAACGGTTTTAGAAGAAACTAACTGACGATCGATGGAATGTTTTCAATTGATCTAGATTAAGGCCCAGGTCATGTAATGGCCCGTCCACCATCCAAGATGTTTATATCGAATATCCGATTAGTTTAGTCTTTTGTTCGATTTCAGAGCATTCAGTAAAACTGCTTTCAACATCACCCTGAGACGGTAAATTAGTTTACTTTACTAGGTAAACATTGTGCATAGGAATTTTGTGCGATAATTCAACATCAGAGCGGCAATACAAACAAAGGAAACAAATTTTGTTTAATCCTGTACTTAGCGATTGGTGCGTGAAAAAGACGCTGACTTCTTTAAGGTTGCTATGCATCCAGTGTTAGGGAAACTATAATAATTTTGTATGATTTTGATAACATATGTGCAGTAATATATGTTGAAACTGAAAGTACTGTGTTCTTTTTCATCTCAAAAGGCCATATATACATTTAACATATCCATCCTTGGACATGCATTTAATTTCATTGCATGCATGTCATCAGGTTTTTTTTTGTGTTGTCCTGTTTAATTGTAAACGAAAAGTCTTGAAATGTTTAAACCCGCACGTGTTTTTCTCGTCATCTACGCATAATAATGGTTGCATTACATATATTTAATTCAAAGATGCAGTTATTTATCTAATTGTGGATGCAGATCTAAAACATTCGAGCGTTCTTCGCGCGTGCGAATACATAATGCAACAGCGCATCCGGATGCAGGGAGCGGTCAGATTTATTTTTTCTTTAATCTACTAACAGATAACTAAAGTAACAGTATTACAGTCAATGAGTAGGCCTATAGTTTAAAAGAACATTCATTTATATGTATAGGAGTAAAGAATTTTAACACTTACTTAATTTTATTAGAAATACCTATCTATTATCCCCCATCGCGAGGACGAAGACACATTTGGTCTTCAAGTTTAATAAATATCATGTTATCTAAACTTTAACCGTAGGATTTGATTTTATATTTGATCATACATATCAGTGCAATAAAACATCTCGTCTACAAATCACAACGAAAAAAAACAACAAATATATAGATTGCATGATGCATGTTTTCAGTGAGTACAGTTCAACTGTAAAAACTTTCTAACACCGTAACATCACTACAGCATCAACATTCGGCGCGTTTCTACAGTAACTGAATCCCGAGTTCTAGTATCAGAGTACAATGCTGAGCCAATAAGCCGATTACATCCTGGTCTGGACAAATTAGTTTAAATTGATACGTAAATTATATAATCATTTATAATAACAACGGTTATACATGTATGTTTTTCGTGAACGTACATGTACAAGTATATACTGAGACAAATCCTACTATTGATAAACCCTTTGATCTACATGTACAAGATATACCGTCCTCATTCAATAATAAACCAATCAACAGATAAAATCAATATTCAAAGTTATAAATTATATTTTTACAGAAAAAAAGCCATTGATTTTTAAAATAACTCACCGAAAATGGGTCTCGGTTTAGCCTGTTTCCTCCGCGACATGTTTAAATGATGCGGTGCCGAGTGTCAACACAACTCTACTGAACGCTATCGGTAATTTCCTACAGCACCAGGTATACATATTGGAGGTTTTACCTGATGAATTAGGAGGGCCACAGAGGGGTTTAAAGATAAGTAGCAACTTGTTTAACAAAGAACTGTAAAATCCAATTATAAACATTATTGGACAAATTGTTAGGGTTTAAAAGCATGACATAATACTGTCTTTGATAATTTTAGAATGATATAAAGGTTTTGTCTGTAAAATCTATTTTTCGTGTATTAGCTAGATACATTTAAAGATGGGTTATGTAAAGACGTTCAACATTTATCGTAAGAAAAGCTGTTTCAGATTGAAAACTTAACTCCAGCATTGATCGGAAAATATCCATAAATTTAAATTGAAATATATTTTTTTCGGCGATGATGATGATCGATTAACATCGTCATCATCATCATCATTATCATTATCCACTTTGACAAAATTATTTGACTGATTCAAAACTTAAACTTTAACGTTTAAATTATAGCTGATTATTATTATTTTTTATTATCATTTTTTAATAGTATTATTATTTTATTATCTATTTATGTATTTTTATTTTTTCATATTTTCTATCTTTTATTTATTTAATTATTTTTTTTAAAATTATTTTTGGTGCGGTGGGGTGGGGGTTTGCAATAGAGATATTTGATGTCGTTATTTTTCACCACTGGGATTGTTAAAAAGGTACAATGGTCTTTCTCTAATACATAACTTGTAACGTAATGAATTTGTTCCAAACATTGGATTCATGGTTTTATCCGAGAGAGTCTACATTTTCTTCATCAGACTATTTTAGAGGAGGGATTAACGGACGGGATAATCCAGGATTTGCGATAAGCAATGTTTCAGCTTAGAAATGTTTTCAATATCCCCACGATACACACATCTTTGCAGCGGATAAACTCGAATAATACTGCGGCATTTTATTTGTTCACTTTCTTCCCGCTATACTTAAAGTATATAAATCGGATTATTTTTTTAATATAGATGAAATTATGGTGTGTAATTCGGTCAGGGTTAATCATAATATAAACATAATTAAAGAAGAAAAAGAATAAAAACAAAAACGCGACAAATTAAAAACCAGACCGAATGTTAAAGCATCAACATAAGTTGTTATATTTTTGTTTCCTTTAGTCTTTTTTTAGTATTTGTCAAACAACCCTATTTGCGCCTCATTTGTATTCGTCTTAAAGATTCAGACAACAATTTCGTCAGCTGACTATGTTAACTATTATAACGGTAAAATTCGTGTGATTTTTTTTGCTGAGCAATGTTAACAGAAAAAAAGCGGAGGGAAACCCGTGCATGTTTTGGCTCCCCTATGATTCGCCCCCGTATGTATAGACTATAGCAGATTCTTATCTCAGAAGAAACAAAAGGAATCGTATCAGGCTACAGCGTGACAAAAGGTCCCGTCACCTGTTTAGTACCGTCTTTTATCAGTTTACTTTAAGACCGAGTCATTTTCGATTTCAGTCATTTCAAAAATTTGGAACTTGTTCAAAAGCTCGACCATCCAATCAAGTGTAAAGTAAGAAAAGTAAGAGGCAGATAACGCTCTCGTGGTTTTTTTCTTTTTCTTCTTCAAGTATACTTCTCCTTTATTTGAACTTCGATTTCAGTTTCTTAAAGAAATTTGGTCCACAACTTATACGCTCATCAAATAGGGAAGTTGATGTTTAAAAGTTTAATAAAGCTATCGATACCGTGTATTATTAAGAATGCAGCTACATGCAATATGATATACAAGCGTCGAGATCGAACATGTTCTTAAAAAATCGACTATCTCATAATCAAATAGATATATTTAAGGATGTAGATTTCTGTGGTTTTGATTTTCAAGCAATTAATCTTCAGATGATATCAGTAACGTCACATGGGACAATCGTATTTTAACTCTTATAGCATACGCGTTTGTTTGCGTTCTCAGCTCTGAGCTGTTGCAGACGACAGTTTGTGCGTTTTGAAGTTCATTATTTTATTATTGCATATGCAATTTGCATTTCTTTTTAAACATACTGAATTTTGAACTTTTAAATAAATTAAAAAATGAGGATGTCAAAAGTTCAAAGGATGATAACTGCATTTCAGTTACTGTTGTGAAAAAAAAGGTTCTCGAATATATTTTTTAGCTGGAAAATAAAATCACCCGCCAATTAATCTGACATCATGAGAACATAAATTTTAAATTGCATACTTTAAATATATATTATAGCCCGAGCTTCAGAAGCGACATAAATCACAAATCTATATGGACTCACATCGCCGTAAAAAGTCAACATCATTATCGGGACGCTTTCATTCAGCACAATTCATACGCGCATCAGAAGTCAAAACAATATAAAACGAGGTTGTCAGAAGTCTATTGCTTTTGACCCCGTATCCAAAACCATTTAAAACGATCATTTATCTGACATAAAAGATGCTATTTCATGCTCACAAAAGTCCGCTTTTCACAAAAAGATTTGGTTTAGAGATTTTCTTGTTCAGTTCAAGTACCAGTCAATTAAGATGTAGAGAACCCATTTAACTTGGGCAACTCAAAGGACCAACATCCTTAAAATGCTTCAAAACATGAAAACTAGAGTATGGAACGGTAAGTTTGTTTAAGGGATCGGGTATCAGTAAAACAACGGGTGCTATTGTGTGAGCGCATCTTTTAGAGCCCGTTAATTTGTCGCCGGGGTGAAGATGGGGGCTCCTGTTGCCCCTGAACAGATAACAAGGGACGATAAGCTGCCGAGATAACGGGAATAAAATATCGGGGATTATATGTTTGTCGTTTTATGAAAGGTTGTCAAGAAACAAAATCTTTTTACTATTGGTGAAATAAAACAGGGCTGTAATAAAACGGGTCATCAATCAAACCGATTTAATGCACGCTGAAAACTTCCCTGCCATATTGTTAAACAAAGATCTAAACTGGTTTTTCACATTTTGAGTATAAGCTGCAATATGAGGTTGATAATGGTTTGTAGGGTATCAGAAACTTTAGAAATGCAATTGCAACCAGTCAGCTAGTTTTTAAACAATATCAAAAACGTAAAGTTTTTGTTACTAAAAATACTTAAAACTGATTCATGCACATTTTGACAGCTTTTGAAAATTATCATGATTATGTTTTCTGAAAGTATATTAGTATTTAACTTAAACTTAAATTAACACGTAAACAGTCTAGTGCGGAATGGCGCGAATCTTGCAGCACGTGCGCGTTCTACCAGAATTAGAATATGCGTCTTAATTATACTGAATTGATGGCGCGGGATTATAAACTAAAATCTTGAGACTATTTCTAAATTGTCGCTCTCCCTATGATCAACTTGTACAGCATTATACATTTTATTCCGTCTCCGATATATAACTTTGGCCGAGAGTCAATTTTTTTCCTATATCAAAACTATTTCGTTTACTTTTTAAAGAATCGCAGACCTCTTTGAGCATTCTACAAGAAATATTCATTACTTTATTAGCTCTGTAAAAGTGCAGGCCACAATCAGTAAATATATATGATTTTCTAAGGATTTCAAAATCCAGACTTTTACGTGACCATCAAATGACTGGTGACCATGTGCGTTTTCTAACGGTGTCATCTAACCAGCTGTACACAATACAAGGGAGGTAACTTGTACAAGTTTACTGATACTTTACTGAGCAACTTGTTATCGATCACTATTTCAATTCTCAACTGAATAAAAAGTTTTCCCCTCAGATATATTCTATGTTTTTATAATTTTTCAGTGATACCTGGGTCTTAAATAAACCACGGAGTTTTAATTTACAAGTAATTACAGTCCCTGTATTTATTTAGGGTGACTGTCCTAAATAAGAATGTTGTAGGACTGGTCAGGCTCTGTGATAGCCATACATCTGAGATCATATACCAATCTAAACGAAGATTCAATATTTATTTCTTCATCTAAGAACGAAAGTAAAACATTTAGTAACTATGTTGCTGTTTTGAATCTAATAAAGTCATCAAAGCGGATAATTGATATATTAGTACAATTAGTTTTAATGGCCAAAATACTATGTCTGTGTGACAGATGTGGCATGATCACAATAACACATTTATTTTTCTTCCCCCCCCCCCTCATAATTCTTGCTTTCATTAACCAGTCACAAACTAAAACAGACACACTGAACACTGTTTATCTAAAATATAGCTTACATTTGTAAGGATTCTGAACATTTTTGAAAAAGATACTCTTGCCCTATCAAGAAATATATCAAGCATTTTTTCTTCTTAAAATTGAAGGTAATTTCAGAACAACATAAAGTAAAACATATGTCATATTTGATGAGTAACAAAAGGGGAAAAAAAGGAGAAAACTAACTAGTCTGTATTTATAATTCAATTTATTTACAATGCCCTTGAAGGACTGAAGTAGAAAAAAGGTAAAATAAATATACATAATATTTAACATAGCACACAACTCACTTCTCTGCATGGAATCATTTAGAGTTTAAATAAGATTTTCTTGGAATGTTAATATCATTATTATATGTCTAGTTATTTACCTAGTCTAATGTATGTTTTTATCCTAGTTTGATATTATTATTCTGATATCAAATATTACAAATTTTACCCTTGGTCAATCTATAAACTGTGTTTTACATACATCAATCAGGAATACAAACAACAACAGATTAACAGAAAATTAAGTCTCAATTTTAGAAACAAAATCACTTTGGTTTGAACTTAAATATAAGTAAATCAAAAATTCAGTATATGACTGGATTACATATCTCTCATAATAAAAAACTTGAAAACATTTTGGCCAGTCTGAATAGCCATCACCTAATAGGTAGATTTCTACACTTATTGTAAACTGACCAATGGCAAAGATGAAACTTTAGTTAACACATTTTCCATCACAATAACATTAACAACTTGAAGTATAGATCAAAATCATGACATTTTTCCAGCAATACAAACAGCATAAGAAAGATTCAAACTAAATGAGAATGATCGTGTTTAGATAAAATAACAATCACAAATTTTGAGACCAAAATTGGTTATTCTAGCACATCAAAAAATTTAATTTTATAAATACAGCACAACCTTTGGGTCCTATAAATTTCGTAACTAATTTTGTAAGCTCAATCTAGAATTTTCAGCATTTGATTGGTTCTAAGTGATCTTCTGTCATAAATGAACCAATGTTAAGCCTGTATTATTAGACTGGTCTCTTTTATCTGTATTTTGTTGACAAAAATGGTTTTTAATTATATTATCATAACTCTTTGGAGTAGTAACTTGTAACAACTCTTGCACTGAGAAAGAATGATGGGTTTCTGACTGAGAAAAGGGCATATAACTGGCAAAGTATTTTATATTTCCTGCAATGCCCTACAGCAGGGGTGTTTTAAATGATTTGTGTGTTCTATATAACATTGTTTAAGAGATATAATTTAACTATTTGTATACATATGTGAGATCACAACTTTGAGTGAGATTAAGTAAAGAATACAAAGATAAGTTACAATATAGGTGAAAGTAAAATAATACAAGATCTCACTAGGACGGAGTTTTAATTCATGGATATGTTTCATGTAAACAATTATGCAACAACATTAGTATGAGCAATAAGATGATGTTTAAAATCACACCAACACTTAAAAGGTCATTAGTGACTTTCTAGCTTTATTAATGGCGGAAGACCTTAGGTGCGCATTTAAGCAATATTTCAGCCACAAGAAGACACCTATGTAGAGCCACAAATCTTCTGTAAGCTAAGTGGATAACTTCCTTAGTTATAGAATCCTACGTTGATGAAAGGAGTCTAACCTAAAGCAGTGAGGGGACAAGTGATCAAACTTAACCACTTGGATAGGGTGACAACCATTATGAGATGATATGATAAAATATATTAAATAATCTTGCAAAATAATCTGTTTCCCTTCAGAAATAGTAGGCATAATAATTGTATTCAAAACAACAGAAACAGCAATTTTGGCTTTTAACTAAGTAATGAATAGATAGATAAACTGATCAGAATTGTACATATATAAAAAAGCCATACATAAGCAAGATAGAAAATTAAAAGTGAATTTTGAAGTCTAATATTTACTTTTTTAAATCTCTTTAGAAAAAGTATATGAAATATTCAGGTATTATTTTTTTTTTCAAATGTACATAAACCATATCTTTAATGGTTTCTCACAAAACATGAGAGAACTGATATTGAAAATCTCAAAAAACATATTCATGTTAATCTGAATCAAACACTTCATGAATGCAAACAACAACAACAAAATGTTTATGAACACTTAACATCAATTCACATTCTTTCATACCAAAGGGCAGATTAGCTCTAAAGACATTAGGAGTCTTGAGAGTCAAATTAAATACTATAAATTCCAGTGTAAATAAGAGACCTTGTCCTATAAATTAAAGGATCTGTCTTATTAGCAAAAAAAAAGAATATATGGTACATTAGCAATAACTAATTATAAATTAACTAATTATAATTAATAATTAAGTTGCTACTTTGTTCCAGAAAAAAAGTTTATCTTTTCATTCAATTTTATTGTTCCCAAAATTTCAATTCCTTCCATTATAGCTAGAAAATAATAGATCTAAAGAGAACAATCATGTTATTCACTATCATGCTTGAAAAAAAAAGAAAGAGATACTTTTCTTGTACTGAACACTTAATTTTACAAACATGTAAGAAAAAAGTTTGAACAATTTTTTTGGAAGAAAACTGATAAAATATTTTTTATAAAGATATAAATTATCTAAATGTATAATCGGCACTGTGTAAATCATGAACAATTTCAAAAACATTTTATAACAAGTTTAAAGCCTTCTAAAACTGCCATGCTCATGCACGAGGTATTATAACTTTCAGTGTTGTCCATTCCTTACATATCCCGTGTATCTGAACAACTAGATTAATACACTATGTGTCACAAGGTGGGTGGGGTACGTTAATGTTGTGATGGGTCGTTTCCATTGAAAGAATGTCCAGTGAGAGAGAATCCCGAGGCGCCTAAACACAGATCAGCACCCAAGTTTGTTACAGTTATACCAGCACTAAAATCTACAGTCCTTCCCTCTTTCTCCTGTCATATATAACATCATAACATATAATATGTAGGGTATAACAAGAATCTTATATATATCTAAGTTGTGTTCATAATAAACATATTTCATTATCAAACAAAAATATAACATTGCTAAATGTTTACATTAGAGGAGATTGCAGGCAACTTTTTTGTTCAATAACATGTCTAATAACAAATTCATGCAGCCTTTTTTTCCTTGTCAACAATGAAATAGAAAAGGTGATTTGCCTTGTATTCTTATGAACATTTACATGCTTTAGAAAAGGAAAACAAATGTGGAAAGCAGAAAAATAACTTCTGCCCTTACTGACAATTTATTTAGGGTTTCCATGGAAATGGAAATCAGGCAACTTTCAAAATTAACCATGATTGATCACATATTAAAATAATTTTGTACAGGCATCGAAAAATATTTTCAGAGTCACTCGTTTGCAGGACGAGTTGCTTCTAAATCCAATGTACAGGCAACATTTTTCTACTGGTCCTGCATCAAATTCTCTAAAATTCTACTTGTTATTACGAGAGAATATGTGGAATTTTCGATCTCTGTTATATGAAGATTTCAGTGAACATCTAACTCTATGGACCTGAGTAATGTGATCTTTACCTCATCACCATACAATAATTGTATATCATATTCATTACTTCTATTATATAAAAATATCTTCTATGATTTCATTAAAATCTTAAAGAATCATCAAGGTAGACCTGTTTTACAGATGTGAAATTTCAAGTCTTTAGATTAAGAAGATATTTTTTCCAACTCTTAGTCTCTATTTCCTTTCGTATCTTTTATAAATTTCAAAAACCTGAACAATACATATCTAGTGTGTAATACTTACAGCTTTGAAATCTAGGAACATTTCTTTGAAAGTCATAAAATCACTAAAGGTAAGCAACATTTCAAATATTTCCCCATCCAATTCATCTTTTCTTTCCCTGAAAAAAAATTTAATCAAATTAATTTTAACCATCATAATTTGCATGTCTACTCAAACATATCAAACATAAAACAACAAAATGTCTGGATTTATTATCTTGTAATAAGTAACAAAGTAAATATGGTGAAATGTCCTGACTGTTGAAAATTTCACCATAAAGGTCATGGTTATATTCAAATACGTCGGAATGAAAATCTTGATTATGGGTTTCTTGTTTCCCAACATGCAAGCTGTAGCTGCTAGAATTAGGCTGTTACTGTCAATGTTGACCACACAGAGACAGGACAACAACATGTTCTAGATCAATTGAAGCTTTAAAGCTTAAAACAAGAAATAAAATGATAATACTGAAATTCATGTTTATACATGTACAGTCTGTTTTAAACTTAACATTTTAACAAGCTTCACACAAGTCATCTATCAAACAGATAGGGCAATCAAGTGTATTACTACACAATATATGCATAGCATAAAAAAAGGAAGGCTTACACGTCATATGATGTCATATATGACGTCAATAAACCAAATGACGTCAGGAAAATTACCTCTACACTCAATGTAGTTCAACATATTTTATTTATCAATTCTTTATTTTATAAGCAAGTTAGAATGGAAATAGACATTAATTGTTTGTGCATAATAGTATAACAATGCACAGTTTATAATTCAAATGCTTTGTAAATAATCACCCAGGGCAATCAGCCCTCCTGACTATATTCCTGTGCATTTGAACTTAAAAAATGCATTATTCTATAACAATGCACTCAGAAGTGGTATCTAATTCCTGAGTAAACATTATTCCTTCACCTGCTGGATTCATTAAATGGACTTTTACAGCTTCCATTTTTGAGCTATTCACTATTAATTTCAGGATACCAAGTTATTGTATTCAAGTATTGAGTCTGGTTATACTGCATGGATGTGCAGGCTGGCCCGGTTCTATACTGGTGGTAAAGGCTCAACACCTAGGTTCCAGCAGGTTAAAATCTTCAAATCTTTATATATTAATTACAAAAAATTCTATAAATAATTCATAAAATTGACACTTACAAAATCTGTTTGGAGAATTCATTCATACAAAAACCTGGCAATCGTTTAGCTAATTCCTCTTCTAAATAATGTTCTACTAAACTTACCTGAAAAAAAAAATTAATTTACTGATGTAATTTGTAAAGTTTGTCTGATAATATAACTAGTCTACAATATAAATAAATCATTTTAAAATCATGACAAGGCAGTCAATACCATAAAATTTTTAACATTACTAATCAAACAGCAAACATTGATTTTTTTAAAGATGTTTGTGCATCAAGGTCAGACTTTTTTGCTTGAGCAGTAATATGGAAGTGTTTGCTGTTTTCTGCATGCCATTAGGTCTGACCAGGGAGGGCTTCCATTAATGGAAGTTTGGGAGTCATTTGCACCTTGATTTTTGGTTTGTGACTTCCAAAATCTAATACTTTTCCTTCTACACCTATATAATGAAACTTCCAATGTCAGACATTTTGCAGTCTCTGACTTCCAAATTTTGGAACTTAATGGAAGCCCTGTCTGACCAGGCTCAGACCAGGTACTGTTGGTAGCTCAATTTTTTGTATTTTGAGATTGAAATTCCTTAAACATTCAATGGACAACAGGGTAAATCTACTACCCAATTTCAGGAAGTTCTGGATAAATGTACTTACATATTCTCTATGAATGTCTGTATATATAAACTTATTTTCTTCCGTATCATCAAACTCATTGTAATATTTTTCTAAGAAATCATGCTGCATTGTTTGAAACTCATCTTCTGTAAAAACAAGAAAAAATAGATATATAAATATATGTTGACATTGTATACTGTACATGTATGTATTATACTAAATTCTTGTATAAACATATATTCTGCAGTGATTTCAGTTATGTTCCAGCTGACACAATGCAGTGTATGTATACCAATTAAAACAAATTTTCTACTTTTTAGGATGTATCTCATTAATTGCCACAGGAAACATTTCATTTGTGAAAGTATGAACTTGTGTCATAATAAATCTCTTCACTTACATTGCTAGCAAATTTTTACATTTTATGAATGTTTTTTTCTATTTTTTTGTTTTTGAATTTACGAGCATACAAAACAAAAAGACACTTACCCATGATAATATCTTCTATGTGACCAATGACTAGATCAAATTTAGTGTCTGATATACTTGAGCTGAAACAAATACAATCATGTTTGTTGAAAATTGAATGTGTCATTTAAATTGAGCCTACATTTTCATGCATCTTTAATATCTGAAATCATTAGCCCTTACCTTAGGAGATAAAGTTATATAAGAAATAATTATTGCGAAGATTGGCTGATTGTATGCAATAAAAAGCAAATAACGCAATCAGTGTTCGCGTTTACTGAGTAAACATATCAATTTACTCGCTAAAATTGCCAGGGAGGAAACAAAAAAAGGGCTGTTGAGTCCCTGGGACGAAACACTTTTTCCCCGATAATTGGTCAATTCTCTCTTAAGTTTTTTTGCTCTGCTTGAAAATGATTTTCTATTCACTTTAAATAAATTGTATTATAAGAACTTGACCTTCACCTCATTTTCATTTGTTCCTTTCTCATTAGCAATGCAGATTTATATCCCAAACGTAGACTAGGAGCAAGTGCTCGGCCTCGTTTTGGGCCAACCTATCAATGGTATCCGCGAACATCAACAGTCACAAATTTGATTGTATTATGAAGTTATGCAAATGTTGACATTTTTGTAATTGAGGACTCGTTCCATTTGAATTGGGACGTAACAGATCTATTAGCACTGAGTCCCAGGTACTCAGTAAAGTTAGGGAAAATCGCTAACACTGGCAATTGATGACAAAGATTAAAATAAATTTCATTATATAAAAGTAAACCAAAATCAAACTAAGTGTGAATCTTACTTACTTGAATATATACTCATTTTTTTATCAGTCATAAATTATCATTATCATTTCTTTTTTTTTTCAAATAAACCGATATACAATTAACGAATTACCCAGTTCTGTCTCTCCTACATACATAATATCAACAACAATTTAATATTTTTTTCTATGTAATAAAAATTTAAGGGTCTACCTTGATGTTGCTAAATCTTCCTCTTCAAACATCAAATCTTCCACCTCCATAGCATCTGCATGAAACAACATTAAAATGTTTTACTCTTTACTTACTTTTCAATATTTAAAGCTGAACTTAATTTACATGTGATAAGAACTTAAAATATAACAATTGCATTATTGAATGAATAACCCTTTTCAGACTTTTAAAAGAGAAATTGATATCTACATTTTATTTTATTTTTTTTTTTATAAGAGAGAAAATTATGACAGAAGACTTTGTGTATGTCTACTATGACAACCTTAAATAAAGACCATCAAAGATTTTTACAACTACATTGTGTACATGTATGTGCATAAAAACATCTAAGTTTGAGTTACTGTAAGTTAGTGTCTTTTAAATTACCCTAAATTGCACTAGTCATCACTGCAATATTATAAATTTACAAAATAAAATGTGCATAAAAAATGAACACTTCATTTTTCTAATTTATCACATTGACCGGACATTTTCTACCAAAGCTGTAATTCAGGTATGATAAAAATACTTAATAGTAATAATACTCCACCCATACTTGTGATTTAAATGCTTCTTAACAACACTAAACAAATGAAATACAAATAAAAATAGACAAGTTCATGATCATTGAAAAATGTCTTAATAAGTTTTCAAACTACTTACATGACATACACATAGTACTCATCCTTTCAAATATTTCTAGAAACTGGCACTATAAAGTTAACAGATAATCTTTAAATATTTATAACAGAAGTACCCGCTCGTGTTTTAACAGGTATTTCTGTATCTTGATTGTCGTTCTTGAGCAATGAATTGCCCGAGGTAATCCGAATTTAATTTCTGATCAAGGTGTGAAAAATATCTCAGCAAACTGGCCGATGATAGTTTACGGCAGGTGATTGCCAGATAAATATTGTAAAGGTCTTTAATCAAGCAAATCTGAACCGAAAATAACACGTTTGCTTTGATATTAATCTTTTAAACTGCAATAACTGTGATCGGACAAGGGAGACAATCCTTTTGTTTACATCTTTTCCGTTAAAATTTTAACTTTAATAAGCCTGTGCCAAACACATGTCTATAAACTTCGGTTAAAATGGAAGGAATAAATGTTAAATATTAGGATATTTCTAAACATTGTCTTGCAAAGTTAAGGAATTTAAAATATCACCATTTTGGTTAGAATTCTGGTCACCGTCGCCAAAATTGGAAGCCATTTTTAAACAGGAAGTAGCGACATATCCCATGATTCAATAGGCGCCACGCGATGCTATCTTTTTAATAATTAATTGAGCCCAGTGTCGACATGAAGCATCGGTGGTGTAAAGGTCAGCATGGTTGCCTTCCAAGCAATCGATCCGGGTTCGATTCCCGGCCGATGCACGCCTTTTTTTCGTATAGACAATACAAGCACTAACACATATTAATTAATAAATATACGTGAAGTATTTATGCAGAAAAAAACACTCGCTCTTTGTTCATACATCAAAAGTACTAGTCAATTGTTGCCACAGAGCTCTTCCAACCTGGCCCCAGGAGGATACTTTTAGATACTTTAACAATTGGTACAAACCTCTCATTGGAACTTTCTGTATGTATCAAAAATAAAAGCCCCTGACATACCACTGGTCATTTTCTTGGAACTTAACACCACAAAATTGACCTTGCATTCTGGACACATGGAAAGTATCCCCTGGGTTTGGTCTTGGTTCCCCTGGGTAAGGGTTGTAATTCACTGGTTCAGATAAATTTTATGGCAGTCATTTTATAACAATGCATCCCCTGGTCATTGAGTGGTACCTTGAAACCATTCTAAGATTTACTAAAATTTACATGAATAACCATCAAACATTTAAATTTTTTTAATTTGTTTGGGGTCATCTCCCGAAATTTCAAAAACCCTAAAGTTTTCTTTTTTTGAAAATGCCAAAAGTAGCCCAAAAACCCCTTCTGAACCCAGTTATTTCCCTTAAACATTTTAAAATTAACAACAAAAAATTTAAGGGGGAGATCTTTTGCGTAAAGTTTGGGTCAAATGAAAAAGGGCGCTTTTTTTTCCAAAAAAAAAAAATTTCCCCTTTTTGGTTTCGAAGTTTTTCAAATATTGTGTTATTCTTAGATATAAAATGCTTATATTAAGTCCATGATTTTTTAAATTTTAAGTTTTGAACAACGGGTTTTAAACCTGAACAAAAATATACGAAATTAATAAGCCCCGGGTTTACAAACTTTTATTTAAAAATTAATTTTGGTATTCTTAAAGCTGTTATCTTAGAACCCACTGTGGTCGAGGGGTTAACACTTGCTTTGGAAGCGAGAGGTCTGGAGTTCAAATCCCAGTTAGCAATTTATGTTTTTGTTTTTTAATTGTTTAAGCCAAATAAACATGAAAATTGAATATCAGTATTGCAATTAGTCTTATAGCCAATTTACTATTGTTATAACACTGGAAATAGCATTGGTGACACTATACAAACAAATTGGTTTATAATCTCACAACCTTCACCTTCTGACATTCTGAGACCCTAAACAAATTCAGCGCCTTCTGTGCTTAAATTTTCTGACTGGGTTTGAAATGACACCATCATATTTCATGGTGTTCAGCCATTACCATCACATTTCATGATGTCCAGCCATTACCATCACATTTCATGGTTCTGTTCAGCCATTACCATCACATTTCATGGTGTTCAGCCATTACCATCACATTTCATGGTGTTCAGCCATTACCATCACATTTCATGGTGTTCAGCCATTACCATCACATTTCATGGTGTTCAGCCATTACCATCACATTTCATGGTGTTCAGCCATTACCATCACATTTCATGGTGTTCAGCCATTACCATCATATTTCATGGTGTTCAGCCATTACCATCACATTTCATGGTGTTCAGCCATTACCATCACATTTCATGGTGTTCAGCCATTACCATCATAATTATTTCATGGTGATCCCAGCCATTAACCATCACATTTCATGGTGTTCAGCCATTAACCAATCACATTTCATGGGTGGTTCAGCCATTACCATCACAATTTCATAGTTTTTCAGCGCATTAACATCACATCAAATGGTGTTCAGCCATTACCGTCACATTTCATGGTTTTTCAGCCATTACCATCATATTTCATGGTGTCCAGCCATTACCATTACATCACATGGTGTTCAGCCATTAACATCACATTTCATAGTTTTTCAGCCATTAACATCACATTTAATAGTTTTTCAGCCATTACCATCACATTTCATGGTGTTCAGCCATTACCATCACATCACATGGTGTTCAGCCATTACCATCACATTTCATGGTGTTCAGCCATTACCATCACATTTCATAGTTTTTCAGCCATTACCATCATATTTCATGGTGTTCAGCCATTACCATCACATTTCATGGTGTTCAGCCATTACCATCACATTTCATGGTGTTCAGCCATTACCATCACATTACATGGTGTTCATTTCAAGTATTTGGACCTGAAAGTTAGCTGGACAGACTGCTGACATTTGTAAATTTAATATTCCTAAAGTGATTCAAATTCAAAACAACTGGGGGCATATGACTCAAAAATCAGAAATCTTACCCATTTTTATCATACCAATAAAAGAACAATCCACTTTTATCATAACAATAAAAGAACAAATAGTTAAAAAACATGTTTTGTACTTTTATTCCAATTTATAAAATATCATAATTGTTTTTCCCATATTGACAGAATTTCATAACAACAATATAAATGAAACACCATAAATGAAACAACAATATTTATCAGCATCACAACAACAGCAACAACAACAACAAAGTTATACTACAGGCTGGAAAATCAGCCATATTTAATTTGACTGTTATAACACAAAATGAGGATTTAATAATTATAACAAGGCTTTATATGCTTATGCATCAGTCAATTGTAATACCAGCTTAATATTCCTCAGGGGAATAGGGGGTCTTTAATTTTTGGAACAAAAATAATGAATACATTGAAATGATGTTGAGACAGCAGCTAAAAACTTGCTTCATACAGAATATAGAAACGGGCTTAAATAACAAGAGCTGTCAATGGGACAGCATGCTCAACTAGTAATCTCAGTGCTTGATAATAAAACAAGAGTCTTAGTAATGTTAACAAATTTAAGTTAAAAAAGGGTCATAATTTTGTCCAAATCTATGTCATGGTAATTAAGGAAAGTGACCGCTCTCAATTAAGTGTGTAAAGTTTCAACCCATTCCCATCAATAGTTTTGAAGATACCAACTTGCATGCAAAACATAACCAAATTGCGACACCATGCCAAGGTGACTACAACAGCTCTCCCTATTTTTCCAATATAGTCGAGCTAAAAACAAAACAAAAATGCAGAAAGTTATAAAATATGAGATTATAAACCAGTTTTGAACTGTGAGTAAATAATGATTCAATGTAACAAATGTTAGATGTTTCACTCCTGGACTTATTCCAGTTACAACTTGTACTTTGTAAAACAAATTTGAATATAATATAAATACCCATCAGGCAAATATTTCACATCTCACAGGGACTACACCAAGGTTTTTTGACTTGACAAAACTGAAAATATTTTTTCGAGATTTATGTACCATTTCGTGGTAGGTAAAGACCAATAACTTGTGTGCAAAATTTCTAGTCATTCAACTGCTTGTATTCCTTGAATTATTATTCAATAGGGAAAAATGACCCAAGTATGAAAAGCATTTAAACCCCTTTGAACACAAATCAGGCTAGAATTTGCGCAAAAAATACAATTTCAAATTTGATTCTGAGTATATTTATGAGAATATTATCTTATGTATAATCTTTCAGCTTTAAGTGTCTGTGCTGATACAGTCAAACATGTGTTTAAGACCACCTCTGAATTAAGACCACCTTGTAAGTTATGGTAACTTTTTGCCAACTAACTCATCATTGACTGAATATAACAGAGCAACCTCCAAATAAAGACCTCTTGTCTATTAAGACCATGTCCAGTTTCTACCTTAGATGACCTTTACTCACAGGTTTGACTGTAAATGCAAGAAATTCAAATTTTATGTTTGTATGCTTTTCGAACCTTGGTTGAGTTCCTTTAAAATTATGTACCAATTATACAACTGAAACAAGAATTATATAAAAAATATTTATATAATAAAATTATTATGTGATAACACTAGGTAAAGAATTTCATAACATAACTATGAAGCTTAAATAACAGGCAATTTTTAAAATACTAAAATAAAGCTTAACTAAATGAAAATATAAAACAATGGATTGTCTAATTATTGATTAACAAAGACGAAAGAAAGTATATACATGCACTTATATAAGATAACAGGATTTCAAATCAGTAAAATTGTGTTTAAACAAATGCAACAATATAACAAGATCTGTTCATAGACTGACATCACACTCCACTTCTCGCTGTCCTACATAACATAATTAAAGCCAAGTAGAAAAGGGGGCATAATTCTGATTTAAGAAAAAAAGTTTTAAGCATACCTTTGCAAAAATCAAGTTTAAGATTGTATGCTCTTTTTTGCTGTTGAAAAGTTGCTACATTTAGATAATGAACAAGTAAGTATGTCAAGTTTGAAGTGCATAGCTTTGATAGTTTCTTACAAATGGATTGAGGATCATGACAATAACTCCATTAATTTCAGAGAGAGTGAAGCAAAAAATGATAAAAGAAAATAAATTTATTTATCTTTATATATTTACATGATTCAGGCGCTGTTAATTTCTTAATATGCAAGTTCACAAATAAGCTATAATACATTTTGATATTTTCATATTTATTTTTGATACTAACTACAAATGGAGAAAGCTCAAAGTAAGAAAAAAACCCTCACCCTCTGCAAAGCACCTTCCTTAAAGTTTAAGATTTCTTGATAATATCAACATCACTGGAAATTTCCATCAAAGTAAAAACATTGAAATATTTTAATTCAGTATAAATCTTGAATAAAAGACAAATGATGCAAATTATACATTTCATTTGATATATGTATTTGTTACGTCCATTTTCATTGGATAATCCTGTTTTATATGATTTGCATTAAAATTGCACATTTGTTACATCCAGTCTTATTGGATAATCCTGTTTTATATGATTTGCATAAATACTGCACATTTTGTGACACTGATTTTCATTATCATGATAATCATGATATTCATATTATTCATATACACACAGCAATTAACATTAACACAAGCATGACAGCAAGGCACTGGCAGATTTTCTCTCTCACTGTTTACAATGAAAACTGCTTTGAAAATAGTTCAAATTGCTTGTAAATCTTTATCCTAATTTTTATGACTGAGTCACAGCTGCTGCAGATTTATGAATCAATATCCTTTTTTATCAAAGAAAGACTTTAGGCATTAGTTAAGTATCATTATGATAATACATATGACAGCTAAGGTGTTCCAGAGCAGACTTTAATTTATAGGACATGATGTTATTAATTGTTAATACAACAGCTGTGGTCTTCCATAGTATACAGGTAATAATGCCTCATACACTTTCGGTATAAAATAAATATCGTATAATACTGTATTTTCTATTTGGAATGTTTTAAGAAACTGGCTCTTGGACAGTATATAAATCATGCCGTGGTTATCTTTATTAAGGTAATTTAAGCAAGAATAAGGCCTGTAATTTGTAAATCTTTACTTTAAATTTAGGGAAAATATGGGTCTTGTATGTGCCTTATGCTAGCTTAAATTACTTTATTTTTTCCAAATAACAATTGTTTAACAAATTAGCAAATGCATTTTAATTTGTTCATAAAAATTAGCAATACACTGGTTCCAGGCTGCTTCAAAGTATAACATGACAACCTTTAAACCCTTAACCTGTAGATTTTCTACAATGGACTTGCTTAGTTATTTATTTTTGGGACTGCCCATTATCAATTTTAGGGATATCAAGATGAAAATTGAAGTCAACCAACAGTATAAGGTATCAGAGTGCAGGCTGGCCTGGCTCTATACTGCTGGTGGCTACGACTCATCAATTTTGGTTCAGGCAGACTGAAGGGTTAAGCTGCTATAAGAAACAAAAAATCTTTTCTACAAAGTGGAATCATTTCAATTGAGAATTATATCAATAATAATGCTGGAATGCCTTCATGTGAAAAAAAAATGCCAAGCAAAAATACAAGAAAGATCAATACAACTGTAGAAAAATACAAATTATTTGAAAACCCAAAAAACAACAACTTGGGAGTTTCTTACAGGAATGTTATTTTGAAACACTCATTAATCAAACAAGTACATATAGTAGTCTAAATAAAAGTAAAATCAATACATTTTAAAAATTAGCATGATGGTCTGCTGAAAAACCATTCTTAACTATAATCAGCACTGTTAGGTAATGTAATCCAAGGACTCTTGGCGGGATTTGAACCAAAAGCGGTGAAGGGCAAGTGGTTTTAAGTCAATAACCTAACCACTCAGCCATGGACACTCCCATAATGCTTTCTTTCATTTGTTCACTTGAGTCTATATGCAGTGACAATACATATAAAATCATTTATATAATGATATAATTTCAAGACATCTGAATGAACACAACCTCAAATAAACAAGAGTACCACAAAGATAGAGCAATATAAGCCTGAATGTTAATTTATTTGAGTAATCAAAAATAATCTTTCAATTAGGGCAGATACCCATCCAAGAAACTTGTCTGAAAAATACTTTATCTAAATCATCCTTATCATACTTTATGACTTCCTAATTGGAGGCATTTTTGACTCTAAGTGCATGATTCATAAAACTTTCATAGAGGTCTACTAGGCAATGCTATAAGCTAAATATATAGGCATAGTATATTTCCACAAAAAGATAAGATGTGTATTTCTATACCTTAGTCTACATAAAGAAAGTGACTACTGGGCAGGGCCAATTTTGAACTGAGGGTCATAATAAATATCACTTTTGTAGAAATCTACAAAAATATGCTACATGCCAATTATCTAAGCTCTAGGTATTGTAGTTTCATCATGTGACTCTCATTCTAATATAGTAATATTCCTGCCAATTTTTTTTTTTCAATTAGTTCAAAAGATATGGAGCAACACAAAATTTGAAATTAATACAATAAGACAAAGTGTGACATTGACCTTGACCTGAGAAAGAACAAACCTGCACTCTGCACACTGTCTCATTATAGGTAACATATTTGCCATGTAGTTTCAATTTCCCTCCACCGGTTTAAAAGATACAGACTGGACACGAAAACTGCTAACAAATGGACATAATGATGAACAACCAAGTGCAAAACATTTATATACACCGAAATTGTTTTGGGTATATAAAAATATCAACATAAACAACATAAAATTACAACAACTTATATAAATAAACCAAAACAACGAAAAAAAAAAAAAACTGGATTTCTTGAACACTTCAGCTCACTTTTGTATACAATGTGAACAGAAAATAAGTATGGATTCAAGGCAAGAAAAAAACCCTGTAAAACATAATATTTCAACAAGTAATATACATGTACAAACAAAAGTAACAAATAGCTGAGATGGATTCAAACCTACAACTACCAATACCTTCATAATATATTCATTTCAGTTAATTTAACCACAAATGCCCTAAAACTTCATAAACAGTTTATGCATAACGCACATTTGTTTCCAAATAATTTATTACCAAAAAACTGGACCCATTCTTATACCTTAGCTTATAGAAGCCTTAGAAATATATCAGAACACATCTAATATATACTTTTACTGTAATAATTGTCCTTTTTTCTTCATTGTAATTTTAGTCACCATGGCATCATAGCTACAAAAGTTAAGAAATTTAATTGTTTAAACATTTTTTCTTTTAATTTTCAGAACCCTTGTTTTTGATGCTTGTTGATATTTCAAATAAATTCACAACTTGTCTATGCTCATGCACTGGTAAAACTAAAAATACAAAAAAAAAAAAAAAAAAAAAAAATTGAACAGACCTTGAAAAAATATAAAATATTCTTTTTAAATAACAAGAATCATATTAACATACATATATTTAAAACAAATTACAAAATACATAACAATGGATAAATAAAAGCATCTAGAAAACAAAATGACAATTTATCAAAATGAGCACTGAAACAGAAATATGTTTCTCCAGTAAAGAAACATTATAACACACTTCATTATAATTACTTCTCTAACAAACAGATAGGGCAATAAAATTCAATATTTCATAGGGGTGTCACGGTTAGAAAAATTGCTAACCATTTAAAACGGTGACACAATAACTGTGTTAAACATTTAACCAACCATACTAATAAAATCCTTAGATTTTCAACATTAACTTTGTTTCTTTATGACAAGATATGCCATTTTATTCATATTTTGTTGTACGCAAAATGATTACAATACATATCCGAATATGGAGTAACTATTTTCTGCTAGGGTTGTACTGAATTCAATCAGATCGGAAAAAATACATTGTTAAGTGCAACTAAAATACAAACAATTGTCATATCTTGTCATAAAAAACTAAGGAAATGTTTAGAATCAATTTACAACTTTTCCGCCTCTTAGTCAAATACTAACCTCAGTTACCAGTTATTGAATTTTTTTTAAGCTAAAAACTGACCGGACCCGTTTAAACATGACCCCTCTTATATCATATGATATATGCACAGCATAAAAAAGGAATGCTTAACAAGTCATATCATGTCAGATATGACATCAATAATCAAAATGAAATCAGCAAAATTACTTTTATACTCAATGTAGATCAACATATATTTAACAATTGTCTTCTTTATAAGCATGTTAGAATGGAAATAGATATATTAATTTTTCTTGCATTATAGAATGATAATACACTGTTTAACCTTCAAATGCTTTGTAATTATTCACTCGGGCCGATATTATATTCCCATGCATTTTGAAATTAAACATTGCATTATTCTACAACAATGCACTCAAAATTGATATCTATTTCTTAAATGAAAAATCATCATCCAAGTTTCACAATTTACAAAAAAAATTAATACCCCACCCACCCTGTTCCATTTGTTTCTTTAGAGAAGTCAAATAAAAACTTTAAAATTTTAGTCAGAGTAGATATGAAGCTTTCTTCAACAAAACTTTTAAGTATTCATAACATGACCAGAAGATGTACAGGCATAATTTATACCCAACAGATAGGCATGATTTATGCCTTTACAAATATATGGACCCTCATTTTACATACAGGTAGGTATGATTAATTATTATGTCATGGTACTACTTTTTATAATCTCATTAAATTATATAGCCCTCAAAAATGCTTTTATAACATGCATTTTATAAAACATAAGATTAAAAATACTTTCATAAAAAGCACATTCATAAACATATTTAAATATAATATCATTCACTCAAATGCAATTAAGTTCTTTGTTGTTAAAAATTCAATAAAGCCTGCAAGTACAGTTTCTGGAAAACTAGTCAAACTAAATTAACTAATTTACAATGCAACAATAGTTCTCATATTTTTGTGAACACTTTTTAGTTTGAGAAAAAAAATCTAAACAGTAACAATACTCACTCACTCCCTCACTCAATAAATTCTTAAAAGTTTACTGATGAAAAACTTATAAAAAATAATTATCGAAGAAAACGATGAAAACCAAGAAAAATCCGAACAACCATTCTGTTATTTTGTTATTTATGCTGGGAAGCTTATAGGTGCCTATAACTATAAATTGTTGAAACTACTGATTACTTTCTCTATCACAGAACAAAAGTCTATGAAAAAAATCAATAAATTGTAACATTTAATAGAATTAAATCAAAGAAAATTTTTTTATGGAAAAACTAGAATAAATATAATTATATATGGAACAGATTAAATATCATGAGCAAATATCCTTGCAGCACATATTTTTGTTGTCATATTTTGATGGCAGAGTAGAAGCTGTCTTTAATCTCTATTATCAAATAGAATCTGACTGCATTTTTTGACTGAACACATTATGAAGGAATTAGCTGATTATTGTAACAAAGGCTCGTTACTCTCGGAGTTGTGCCGTGAGTTAATAAACAACGTTTCTTCCTCCTCTTCTGAAGATTCTGAGGGCGCGGCACGTACGTCGTTAAACCACTGCTTCGTTAAGTTTGTCATCTGTGTCTTAGCATCTCTTACCTCCTACACGTCACATGGGAAATATAAAAATATCATTTCAGTTCATCAAATTAAATTAATTAAATAGAGGATATTTGTTTGTTTTGCATGTAAGATTGAAATATAATTTCACTGAGTGAACACCAGATGCAATATTTTCACGAGTGGCGTAGCCACGAGTGAAAATATAATAGCTGGTGTTCACGAATGAAATATATTTCAATCTTATATGTAAAACAAATAAATTTTCTTTTTATTTTATGCTTTTTCAGCGATTTTAAGTAATTTTTACTGATTTTGCCGCGTAACATCACGCATTCTCCTTTGTGACGTCATATATATCATGACGTCACATCATCAGTTTTGAAATCTAGTTCCGTTGAATTTCTCTAATTTTGTTAAATTTCTAACATGATCTATGATGAACATTGACTTTCTTTTCCTAAAGAAGCAAAATTTACGTATGACGGCATTTATTTCTGCCTGTTATTCCATTTAGTTATGATTTTCTGTTCATCCGCATTCAGATATAGTCCGGCTACAGTGAAAATTATATTTTATAAATTTCACTAGTGGTTTATCAGAATATAATCATCTGATATATTACAATAAAACACTGGAAAGCATGAAATAAACATTAATATGAACATAAAATTTGATTTAAATGAAATATTGAAACATATTAATATTTTCAGGCGATTGAATGCTGTGTATTTTCTCCTTCCACGTCTTCCATATTTAGATAAAAATTGCCAAGTTCTGTCACCTACTTTAAAGTTTTAATTTAGACTTAATATTTCACAAACCTATTGAGTAAATTGTATTGTGAAAATTGCTCACAGTCTACAGTATCACCCTCCCCCCATCATTTCTCTGATTATAAATTTATCTCCTTAAAGGAACTCAACTTAGGTTTTTTGACTTGACGGCATTGATTTTTTTTTGTTTGAGATTAATATTCCATCTGATGCAAGTTAAGACCAAAAGCTTATGTGCAACATTTCAGAAAAATAATTCTAGTTGTGAACAAGAGCTGTCGGTAGGACAGCATGCTCGACTATTCTTAGTGCTTGATAGTAAAAAAAATGCCTGATACAGTTACCTCCTCCTGTTTACAGGTTGGGATCATGATGGTGAACAAGTGTGCAAAGTTTCAAAGCCATATGTCAATGGACTTTAAAAATATTTGAACTATTACAAAAACTTTAACGTAAATTCTAAGTCGAAAAAGGGGCATAATTCTGTCAAAATGCTTGATAGAGTTACCTCCTCCTGTTTACAGGTTGGGGTCATGATGTTGAAACAAGCGTGCAAGTTTCAAAGCCATATGTCAATGGACTTTGAAAATATTTGAACTATTAAAAAACTTTAACGTAAATTCTAAGTCGAAAAAGGGGCATAATTCTGTCAAAATGCTTAATAGAGTTACCTCCTGCTGTCTACAGGTTGGGGTCATGATGTTGAACAAGTGTGCAAAGTTTCAAAGCCATATGTCTATGGACTTTGAAAATATTTGAACTATTACAAAAACTTTAACGTAAATTCTAAGTCGAAAAAGGGGCATAATTCTGTCAAAATGCTTGATAGAGTTACCTCCTCCTGTCTACAGGTTGGGGTCATGATGGTGAACAAGTGTGCAAAGTTTCAAAGCCATATGTCAATGGACTTTGAAAATATTTGAACTATTACAAAAACTTTAACGTAAATTCTAAGTCGTAAAAGGGGCATAATTCTGTCAAAATGCTTGATAGAGTTACCTCCTCCTGTCTACAGGTTGGGGTCATGATGGTGAACAAGTGTGCAAAGTTTCAAAGCCATATGTCAATGGACTTTGAAAATATTTGAACTATTACAAAAACTTTAACATAAGTGGTTACGCCGACGCCGACGCCGACGCCGACGCTCGGGTGACTGCAATAGCTCTACTTATTCTTATCGAATAGTCGAGCTAAAAATGACTTAAAGCAATGCTTTTCGCTGAAATTGAAAAAAGTTTTTTAATTTATATCTTATATCTGAGTACAGTGTATTTCTTATTTATTTCTTGCATATCTTACTATTTTTATTACCTCAGGTAAGACTTAAAATTTATGTGTTTTTTTTAAGGATTCTAGACTTTTAAATACCAGTAAATAAAATTGAGGCTTAATTGTCATACCTGTTGAGTAAATTTCCTTGTGAAGAATGGTATCAAATATCTAGCATCAACTCTCACAAAACCTTTATGTGACGGCTTGGCAAAGCTCACCTCCGCCTCACTCTCTGTATATTCTGATAAATGCTCGCTGTCTACTGTATCACCCTATAATAACACAATGACATAGTTGTATCACCCTATTATAACATAATAACATGTATATTCTGATAAATGCTCGCTGTCTACTGTATCACCCTATAATAACATATTTGTATCACCCTATATTAACACAATAACATGTATATTCTGATAAATGCTCACTGTCTACTGTATCACCCTATAATTACATATTTGTATCAACCTATATTAACACAATAACATGTATATTCTGATAAATGCTCACTGTCTACTGTATCACCCTATAATAACATATTTGTATCACCCTATATTAACATAATAACATGTATATTCTGATAAATGCTCACTGTCTACTGTATCACCCTATAATAACATATTTGTATCACCCTATATTAACATAATAACATGTATATTCTGATAAATGCTCACTGTCTTCTGTATCACCCTATACTAACATATTTGTATCACCCTATATTAACACAATAACATGTATATTCTGATAAATGCTCACTGTCTACTGTATCACCCTATAAAAATATATTTGTATCACCCTATATTAACATAATAACATGTATATTCTGATAAATGCTCACTGTCTACCGTATCACCCTATAATAACATAATTGTATCACCCTATTATAACATAATAACATGTATATTCTGATAAATGCTCGCTGTCTACTGTATCACCCTATAATAACATATTTGAATCACCCTATAATAACATGTATATTCTGATAAATGCTCGCTGTCTACTGTATCACCCTATAATAACATATTTGAATCACCCTATAATAACATGTATATTCTGATAAATGCTCGCTGTCTACTGTATCACCCTATAATAACATATTTGAATAACCCTATAGTAACATAATTGTATCATCCTATAATAACATTATAACATATTTGTATCACCCTATAAAGATATTGTGGATATTACATGAATGTAACATAAATGTTACACAAATGTTACACGAATGTTACACGAATGTAACACGAATGTGCTATTCTGATGGTTTGGGAATGGATTTTCATGTTTTTACAGTCGAAAATTACTGTATTTTCACACACAAAAACTGATAATATGTATTACACTATAATGACATTACAGTATTTTCCACTATTTCATTACACAATATCATCTAATAAAAGCATTTATTTCACTGTAGTGTATGAACATAACAATATAATATTTTATCATGGATCCAGGACATGTAATCACAAAACAACTATATAGATAATTATTTAGTTCTTGACTTTACTTTCCCATATAATGTTTACTATATAATATTATGTTTTAGATTTCTTTAATTCTATATCTTATATTCTTCTGAATTATTCTTGCATGTTAGTCATTATGCCAGAGTCTAATTTTTCTGTAAAAATAAAAACAAAGTAAGTGGTTTCATTGTAATAATTTTCAAACTATGATGTTACAGCCACTACATACTGTAGAGGCATTAAAAGATTACTTCACTGATTACTGAACTACAGTAATTCAGGTTGTCAAGCAATTTTCATGTAATTTTTTGTTGTACATGGAGTTAATATATTTTGATTATAAATTACACATATAATAATATTAAATTGGTTTATAAAATATAAATTTTATGATTCCTACTGCTCCTGAATAAAGGAAGATATTATTTATTTACTAAAATCAGTGTGATTTTTTTGTTCAATCAACATAGTAGTGAAATTTTAACCCAAAATCTATATTTAATTACCTCCCTTTTATTTTACATATGAAATATTATTTTTGTTACCTCCCTTTTAAAAATTTGAACAATTTTACTATAATATGATTGTGTAAACCATACGTTATTTTCTATAAAGATTTTACATCAAGGACTGATGCCTATAAAATATCAGCATCCACTTCATAATAGCTGCTTACAGATCAAATCAGAATTCTAAAATTTGTTCAACATTACCACATCACATTGTGTACTTCAAAATTGAATAAAGTCATTAAATACATTAATTTCTACACAATTTTGATGTAACACTCAATTCTAACACGACCCTCATTTTTGCCAATTGAACCAATAGAAGAACCGAAAGTGTGTGTTATTTAAGAAATAATATATCCCAAACTGTGATTTTATTGCTCAATAACATCACTGTTTGGAGTTCGGATGCGGGGAATTAATAAAAAATTATCACGAGGGCGTAGCCCGAGTGATATAATGATGCGCATCCGAACGACAAACAGTGATGTTATCAAGCAATAAAATCACCGATTTGGATATATTATTTCGATTCTAACACGACATCAACAAATAAATGCTACCGTACATGATAATTAGCTAAATTGCGTCTGATTTGTTTCCGTACATTGTCAGCGCGTCATATTTTTAGTGGTTACGTCACGTGTATAATGATTACGTCACATGTCTAAATATAGAACGTCAAACAGTGATTTTATAGCATAATAACACAAACTTTAGGTTCCTCTATGTTCAATAGGGAAAAATGCGGGTCGTGTTAGAATATGCTATAAAGTCACTGTTTGAAGTTCTATATTTAGACGTTTGATGTAATCATTATACACTTGACGTAACCACTAAAAATGTGACGCTTTAAAAATAAGTACAGAAACAAATCAGGCGCAATTTTGATTAATATCAGGTACAGCAGCATTTATTTGTTGATGTCTTGTAAGAATCAAAATAATATATCCAAACAAAACAGTGATTTTATCACATGATAACATCACTGTTTGTGGTTCGGATGCGCATCATTATATCACTCGGGCTACGCCCTCGTGATATAATTCGTCGCATCCGAACTCAAAACAGTGATGTTATTTAGCAATAAAATCACTGTTTTGGATGAATCAAATGTACAAACATCATTTCAAACAAGCTGAAAAACAAACAACTTCTACCGTTACCTTTAAGTCTGGGATAGGATTTTGTTAATAACAATGTTAATATTTTGTCAAAGTTAGTAATAATATTAGAGTTCAAACAGGAATTTCACCCCCATGCTTAAAAACATAATTCAGTATTGTATGAAAGCATATTTTAGATTTCTTATATTCTGTAGATTTGTTCTTGAATATACAGTTAATAATTTTTGATATTTTATGTTTATAAATGGTCAGAAGATAAATCCTGAAGGTTGCCTGGCATGAGAGAGGTTTGGTGCAAGTACAGTGGTTTTTTCAAGTCATCATTAATGCCCTGCTTCTAAGTGCACCCTTCAGTAGAATTTAATATTTATTATATATGAAAATGCTGAAATTCATAGTCCAGAAATATCTGCAGAATTATTAAAACACTGGTGATCATGGAACCTCCAATGTGCCATATTTGTATATACTATTATTCCATCTACATTAACATTTTCAAAATTGAAGCCATACGGCAGCATTCCTACATTACTGAGACAGGAAGATCCAGAATGATGCTCCTCAAGCATCATTTTAAATGGACAGTCACTTTGTTATAGAAACTGACAGAAAAACTGGCATTCTGCTGTAAACTTCAAACAGCTCTATGCCAATGATTTATTAAACATTTGCCAATTTACTCAACTATATGTCTCTGAATTATCTACATGATATCCCTAAGATAATAACATGATATCCCTGAATTATCTACATGATATCCCTGAATTATCAATATGATGTCAGGGTTTTCAATTTTTTGTTTTGTTCAGAGATGGTCTGTTTTGAATCTTAGTGTGTGTTGAGTTTTGAGGAGGACCATATAACATTTGAGTATAGGAAATCGACAGAGTAAGAGGTCTTTCTGTTTAGGAAAGACCTGGTCACGAATTTCATGTGACACCGAGAGCGCGTAGCGCTCGAGGTGTTTCATGAAATTCGTGACCAAGTCTTTCCTAAACAGAAAGATCGATGTATGAGGCCGATATCCAACTTACACACCGTAAAACAATAATGGCTTGAGCAATGGCTGATCCGAAACTTTTGATGTAATTCACAAATATTATTTTAACACAACGCATATACTGGTAAGCTTTTATTAACATTCTCCTTAAATTGCATTTAACTTTGCTTTTCCCTTTAAAATAATAATCAAAAAGCTAAATGTGAAATTTGTCAATAATAAAGTGAATAGGTCTGTAATTGAAGGTATGTTAAAGAATGAATAATTATGTTGATCGTATTTCGTATCAGACAATGCAGATTCCAGGACATTATTGACCGGTCAGTTCCCCCCGAACGTTTACCCCTTTTTGCTGTTGTGACTTGCCACTAGTGAGAGGTCATCTCATGTATATATTTTTTGTATGCCAATGGAAACATTAAAGTTCATTTATTTATGGAAGCTATTTTGACGTTTACAAATTTGCGCAACAGTTTTTGTGTATTTAAACACAATGAAATTTCGACAATAGGCAATGAATTTTGGTAGCAAACAATTCAACAATTTAACATTTTTAAAACAATGAGGGGGGGGGGAGGGGATGACTGCCCCTTCCAAAGATATGAGGGAGCAAATGAAAAGGCAAACTTCCGAGGGGCCCAACTGTCCGAATGGCAATGTCCGGATACCCAGCCGACCACGAAAGACTTACCTATGTATATTGTTGGCTAGTGTGAGGTACATGAACCGAAACTATATTTTATATGGCAGATTATAAATTGTTCTAGAACAAAATATGATCGTTCATTATAAATATTTTATACTTAATCACTTATAACTTTATTAACATTTTACATCGTAATATGTATGCTGTGATTACTGCTATATAGTTTCACAGTTATGAACTTGAAGCGTTCATTTTGTTACATTGTGAACTTAATGACAGAAGAACCATTTAGATTACAATGATGCGATTAAATAAATGTTAAATGTGTCCTGACTTTGATATGCTATCCATTATTTTTATTCAAAGATTTAATATAGGGATGCTGGAATAATTGCTTAGTGCAGTCAATTAACATTATCCTGTTTAAAAAATGTATCCCGATTTTGTAAAACAGGAACATTATGACAATCATTTACATTTTATTGCAACTTTTAATTTTTTTTATTGCATTTCATGCTTTCTTTATCTGGGCATTGGCAGGTCTATTTTTTCACGTGTATTTCATGACCGGTCTGTCTGACTAGAACAGACCTGTCCACGTGCAAAAGATAGACCTCATAATGGACTTTCTTTATTAAAACAGGTCTATCCGAAAAATATAGACCTGTCACACACAATAGAGGAGGTGTGTAAAACCTAATAACAACCATGAATGTCCCTGAATAATCAACATGAATTCTAAACACTATCAAGCTGATATAAAGAAGATAATGAAACATTTTGAATATACATATATATCAACATGTACACATGAAATGTTGATACATTGTATTTTGATAGTATTACCAGAATAGAACATGCTCCCAGTAGTTCAACAAGATATCCTGTAGGTTTCCACCTGATGTTTCCCACATATCAACATGATATCAACATAGATATCCGCCATATATCAACATGATAATAGTGACCCTGTCACAGTATCAGTTTTGCTGTAGATATCAGTTTATGTATACTTACAACTCTGTGTGTCAATGACATACCGCTCAAATTTAAATTTTGTATTTTAATCTGTAAAGTCAATCAACTATATATGAAATTTCTTTTTTTTCTAATTTATTACAATCCAGACCTTTTCATATCTCCAAAAAATACATTTAAAGTTCGACTTAACTAACTATAGTGTTGGAGAAATACCTCTGGACGCTTGTCACAAAATAGAAAAATATTGCTTTTTTCGGCAATTCTTTCATTTTCTATTCATGATTATATTTAAATAGGTGTGAGGAGATGAATAAATTGTCCTAAAGAGCATTCAAAAGTGAAAAGGCAAGATTTTAGCTTTTGATTATTTAACTTTTGTAATTATATGATACTATAATTAAATATCAAGTCAACTGAAATATTTTCTTCACTGATATTCTCCAACTTTAGGCCATCAAAAATACATTTGGATTTCTAAACTATGATATTCTAAAGGTCTAAAAGAACTAAATGGCTATGAAAATATTCAATAAAAAATATCAAATACACCAATACCAAGCAAACAAACATACAGTCCCTTAAAAAAAATCAAAATAAAAAACTATTAAAATGTCAAACATATAAAATCAATACCTTCAAATAAAACTATTTAAGACTGTAGCCTGCACACCATACTATATTCTTGTATTGTTGACAATTATTGATAAAATGAGAAATAAAATAAGACTATAATTATTTACCATTTCTTTAGTTTTACTAAGAGATATCTCCCTCTCTGATTTTCTCCTCTTTTTCTCCTTCTTCTCTGCTTTAAGAAGCTGAAAGTAAATAAGTTCAATCATAAAACTGTGAATAATTCTCACCCTTTAATTTTGTACAGGGGTTAATCATTATGACCCTGTAGCCAAGTAAAACCCCCTGCAACATCTTACATATAACAGATAACCAACTTCTTTTTGATATCTATTTTTCTGCATTCCTATTTTACTATCAGAAATGACCAATCTTGTTTCTTCCTAATCTGTGTTATGAACTTGCCCAGTTATAATTTTGAAACTATTTACTTTTAACTATCCAATGTTAAATTGCCATTTTTGAGAAGCTAATTTTTATATGATATTGTTAGACAGCAAAGAATGTTTTACCTGCTGTTAGCACTCAAGGATTTAATACATGATGCATGAAATGTTAAATATCCATTCAAATATTTATAATTTAGAGTTTAAACAGTCCAATATTGGCCTTGTTTTTTAAAAACACACTGACACTATGGTAATAAGACTTTTTACAAAGCAATACACAATCAACAAATGTATAATAGGATTAACATTGACATAGAATTTATTGGAACATTATATTACTGTAAGGATGTTTGTCCCAGCATACTCAGCCGGGTTCAAGTTTTAGTATGTAGTATGACATGATGAATCTACGCTTTTGTTTCAACATCTTGACAATAACTTAACAATGTTACAATGAAACTTATGATAATCTATTTCCTTTATTATGTGTTTGGGTAAACTTTATATCCAGTTCAACCATTATACTACAAAAACTTATTTATTTAATATCATATCATGAAGCAGATTGCCTTTTGTTTTCTAAGTGGCTTCATATATAATTTGGTTATGGAGGGTTTGTTTTTTTTTTCAGGAAAACTTTTAGCCAGAATTTGTTACAGTTCACCAAAGGGAATAATTCAGATAAAATTTAAACTATAAATTCAATTCAATTCAGACATTATATTCTTGTAATACTGTAAGTTATACAGTATAATATGAAAAATCCTTTTTCTAAATACTATAAGTATATAACATACCTTCATCATAGGCATGGTTGAGCCACCTAGGAACAAGATTGTAAACAATACAATAATAAGTGTTGTAGTGACCAGTACATAACGCTTCTCCGGGGTATCAAACTCTAGATGAAGGCTGAGAGCAAAGGCAATGGCACCACGTAACCCTGAAATACATATAGAACAACTTCTACACTTGAAAATTCTCTCTACAACATCACATATCTTCAGTTATAATACATGTACATACAAAATTATATTTTGTCAGTAATTAAAATATGTGCAAAGTTTATATCAGAATAGATATATATTTACAATTGCATACAGTTAATTGTTTTAAACAAAACTACTACTCTAACTTTCTTTCTAGAAAAAAATATTTCACTGTAATTTTGTCACAAAACTTTAAATTTCATTAAACACAAAAAATAAAATTAAGAACGATTTCTTATTTCTTTTCAAAGCCCCTTTTTTGTACCAACAATGGAACAATTTGCTCAATAGATTTCTACATTTAATAAGAAAGGACCAGATAAATAAGCTGCCTGACCAGGTACTTTTTTGTTCAGTTATACAAATTCTAAAAGGTAAAGATTACTGCAGGATGTTAAAAATCTTTGGATATCTTATTTGGTCAATATATAAATAAAAGATATATCTTAACTTACCACTAAACCACATAATAAACTGCTGTTTTTTGGTGATTTTATGCTCACGAAAATAATTTGAAATGAAAGACAGCGGGAAAATGTTGACAGCCCTGCCGATTAATATCAGAGTCTGAAATATATAAATATAAAAAAATTACAAGTATTCACTTAAAGAAAAACCATCAAAATTTATTATAATTAATTCATCAATTGTGTTTTACAAGTTTGTTTTAATACATATGGTGCAACTGGAGTGGCAATTTAATACTGAATTTATTTAAGTGAATTAAAAAAATCATATTTACAGGCTATAAGAAAAGTTCAAATAAAATTACATACATTTATACCTGCTAAAAGGAAGTCAATTAAACTTCAATTATGACAATGCAATAATCAATTATTTTTTGAATCAGAATAATAAAATTGACATACTGGAATTCACTAGTAATACATGCAAGTTATATACATCTTTAAATGATTTATTTTAAAAACATATATTTTACTGAAATTTATAAATTAAACATGTATATTGTATTTCAAATTTGTTTTTTGCTACTAGTTAATAAGCCATGCTTCTATTTACAGCCAAATAAAGCTAAACTAATATAAAAATTGTGTACTAGAAATGTGTTACAGTAAAACTATGTGTGCAATGAACTGGTTAACAGCAATTAATACAAAATTCAATTAGTGCAATTAATTAATAAGCAGCCATTAAATTCTTTTGACTATACAAAATATCTGGTAAGGAAACAATCAACAAAAGAAAATCAAGTGCAAGTTAATCTCAGTAGTGTCCTCTTATTAGTGCTACCATCCTCATTACAAACGGAAAATTAGAAGAATTATCGAATGCCAGCGATTGACATACAATATGTCTTTGACATGGACCAACAACCAGTCCTGTCAATGGCCTATGCAATGTCTTTTTTTAGAAAATCAACTTGAATTGGGAAATAAAAAAGGTACATACAATGATTAGATTAAAAATCATCAAAGTTTTAAAATTTACTTTAATTAATTTTATTAATAAAGCATTTTTTACTGAAGAAAATGACTGCTTTTTTACAATAACTAGTAGTTTTAGGTGACTTACTATGCTCCATATTACTAAAGCAGGCTTGAACACAAATTTGAAACTAAAAAATGCCATGCCTATGTAGGCAAACACACATGTTTCTGGAAGCAAACAATACAGCATTAGAATATATTACAACACACAGGTCATGCTACCTGACATAACTAACCATTCAGGTCACGTTTATCAACATTCAGGTCACAATTAACAACATTCAGGTCATGTTAACTGATATTCACTTTCTGGTCATATCATATCATATCAACTAACATCACCAACAATCAGGTCATGTTTAACAACATTCAGGTCATGTTTATCAACTTTCAGGCCATGTTTATCAACATTCAGGTCATGTTTAACAACATTCAGGTCATGTTTAACAACATTCAGGTCATGTTTATCAACATAACCAACATTCAGGTCATGTTTAACAACATTCTGGTCTTGTTTATCAACATTCAGGTCATGTTTAACAACATTCAGATCATGTTTATCAACATTCAGGTCATGTTTAACAACATTCAGGTCATGTTTAACAACATTCAGGTCATGTTTATCAACATAACCAACATTCAGGTCATGTTTACCAACATTCTGGTCTTGTTTATCAACATTCAGGTCATGTTTAACTACATTCAGATCATGTTTATCAACATTCAGGTCATGTTTAACTACATTCAGGTCATGTTTAACAACATTCAGGTCATGTTTATCAACATAACCAACATTCAGGTCATGTTTACCAACATTCTGGTCTTGTTTATCAACATTCAGGTCATGTTTAACTACATTCAGATCATGTTTATCAACATTCAGATCATGTTTATCAACATTCAGATCATGTTTATCAACATTCAGGTCATGTGAACCAACATAACCAACACCCAGGTCATATTTACAGGCATACAGATCATGTTAACCAACATTCAAGTCATGTTTACCTACACAACCAACATTCAAGTCATGTTTACCTACACAACCAACATTCAAGTCATGTTTACCTACACAACCAACATTCAAGTCATGTTTACCTACAAAACCAACATTCAGGTCATGTTAACCAATTTCAGGTCAGGTATTGAGTTTATGTTAACCAACATTCATTCCATGATAACCACTGGGGGCCAACATTTTAAAAGATAGATTCCTATAAACCAATAATATCAAGAAACTGGGGAACATGATCTTTGTATCTAATTTTTCCGTAACTTGTTATTATATTGTGTGGGAATGGAGATACAACAGGTTTTGTTTGTTTTGTTACAATTTAAAATTTCTCAGCACTTTATGTATAGTTTAAATACATATTCATGGAAAATCCAATTCATGTTTTGGTATTTTCTGACTTCAAGAAAATAATGTCCATGACATATGTAAGTCTGTATACCTTAATGAAAAATTGTTTTAAATCCCAAGTTTTCAGGTCATACACTGGTCGAGATTTCAGCTATGCTACTACACTAGTACAAAGTGTTTATCGTATGCAGGAAAATGTTCATGTCACCAATTGACAGTAATATTCTGGTATATTTCCAGATATTTGGGGCCTTTTCAATACATGGGAATGTTATGTTAGCAAAATGTTACAATAAATTACAACATTCAACAACAACCAAACTTCAACAATTTGAGGGCCATAGATTATCAAGTCAACATTTGATGGTCTATATTCTTATAATCTATTTCTATGAGAATTCTGATCTGTTTTTTATCAGTTTCAAACATGTTGTCAATTTTATAGAATATCTATCTATGCAGGGTCATAGCTCTAATCTAAACAACATGCAAACCCGAACCACTTACTAATTAATGATCTACTAATGCATTTAAATTAATTGATTTCATATTATTCAGCCAGTGCAATACATTTTGTACTCCAAATAAATCACAGAAACTAACTTCATTTGCCAATTTATTGAGGGAGGTTGCCAAAAAAATCATGTCCCATACAAAATAAAAAAAATTATGTTGTGACATAAACAAAAGTGAATCCTTTATCCAGCTTTGATAAACAAAATAATCACAGGTTGTTCATAACGAGGCTGTATTTCTTATCAAAAATCCAAAATCTATCTAAACTAATTCTTCTATGTTAATTGAAAGTATTATTTTTTATTTTACAATTTTTCTATTCCCATTAGATATTGTAAACTTGATTTTATTCCCATTCCTTAAGCTTAAGCAAAGTATTCTACATGTATGTAAAATGACCAGATGGTGTGTTAACTTATGCTGTATGTGTGTGTAATTACATGTATGTAAGAATTGTAAAAGCTTGGCTACACAATGCAAGAATACACAGTCAAACTAAAGATAGGCATACAACCAAATTGATCCTACTCAACTGACTTTTTACTTTATTCAATTTTTTTGTTGGTTTTTTGTTTTGTTTTTTGGGTTTTACGTCGCACCGACACAGTATAGGTCATTTGGTGACGTTCCAGCTTTACTGGTGGAGGAAGACCTCAGGTGCCCTCCCTTGCATTATTTCAGGCATGAAAGGGCACCTGAGTAGAACCACCGATGTTCCGTAAGCTAGCTGGATAGCTTCCTCACATGAAAGAATCCAAAGTCCCTGTCGGGATTTGAACCCACAGCGGTGAGGGGCAAGTGGTTTGAAGTCAACGACCTTAACCACTCAGCCACAGACGCCCCTTATTCAAATTTTAATTAAAACTTTTAACAAATATATGAATATAAGAGCATTGAGCTCAAAGAGATTGTATTACATATCAAAATTAAGTTGAACAATATATTGCATGTCTCCCTTTGAAGTATTTTCAAATATTCCAAATATTGCATGCCTTCTCTTTAGAATGAGTGGTATATTTGCATATGTGTATAAACAATAAAAGTCAACACAACATGTTAAAGTACCAACACATCAATATAACAATGTCTGTCACTTACAATAGCCCATATAACCAGGGCTGGTTTAACAACCAATTTAAAACTAAATATTGCCATCCCAAGATAGGCAAACATACACGTTTCTGAAACAAAAAGTGATCCTTAAATCAATTAACGTTTTAAAGTATCTTTTTTGTATTTGTATATTTTAATCATTTTTTTTCTTCCAATAAGAATATATATATGTATAAAATTATTCACGTTTCCCATTGTTATTTCATTCTAGTCCGTAGTTTTGTTTATGCTTTGATAAGTCTACAACATATTTTGTTTCATGCATATTTTATTACATTGCACGGTTTTCACGTGTTTTGTACCAGTGTGTAGGTATATATTCGGTGTTTTACTATTGTTTCTCACTCGAGGCAGTATTTGACAGCTTTTAACACGTTCTTTAGAGTTATAGTTATTCCCTCTTCCCGCCCTCCCAGTTTCTAAGAAAGGATGCTATTTAGTGGTTTTCAGAGTATCGTTATAAAAAATTATGTTTTCATTTATCATTATTAATATAGTTTCAGTATATTTCAGGTTTATCGTTGGACGAATATGCATATGGCTTTCCGAATTCAGCTATACAAGATACTATCTACAGGATCCAATGGAACTGTTGTATACCTGAAGAGATTTTAACACGATCCAAACTACATGAATTTATTTGTTGAAAGTTGTCAAATACAATGCCTAAATCCTATTCTGTTGTTTTGGTTTCTTTCTAGTAAGATTATAACATGGGATAATATTGTTTTACTCACGACACAGAGTGAGTAAAGGAATTTAGATTCTCTTTTTCTTGAAAGCAATATACTGGTTTCAAAATTAATCTTATTAGTTGGGAGTTTAGGTTGTGCTTACACTTTAAAAGTTGAGGCAACTATCCAGATCTATTTATAGAGTACACTTTAAAGTTAAGGCAACTATCCAGATCTATTTATAGAGTACACTTTAAAGTTAAGGCAACTATCCAGATCCATTTATAGAGAAAGAGATCACATGGGTCTCCCTGCATTATTTCTTATACAAACTGGCACCTGGGTTGAACCACAAATCTTCTATATGCTACTTTTTCTCATATGAATGAAAATCAAAAGTTTATGATCCAACAGCTGTAAGTCAGGTCTACCCAATTTCCATTTGTAACACAAAAATGCACAAACATACACTCTGTCTTGAATTCAATAAAATAAAACATGTAATACATGTACTGATACAGGTACTTGTTATCTAAAATTTATATTTGAAAATATTTAATTATAATACATACCTGCCATAAAAGCTATGGTTCTAAATGTATGTTGTACAGTAATCTGTGTGACAGGTGAAAGATTATGATGAGTATAATGTGACATGACAATTCCACTCATTAATATTGCCATTATCCCTGTAAAATATACAAATATATGCAAAATATACAAATATGTACAAATATACAAATACATGTAAAATATACAAATATGTAAAATATAGAAATATAATTATGTAAGATTTAGTTGACATAGAATTTGAATAGAGTTTGATTGTGTAGGAAAGCTACAAGCTTATAGAACACTCTAAAATCCATTCCTGGAACCAACCAGCACTCAACAAAGAGTGTAGCTTCTTGCTCAAGGAAACAACAGCTTGCCCCTGACAGGGTTTGAACCTACACAGTCAGCTTTCCTGTAAAAGTCCAACTCATTAGCCACTTGGCCGTGCAGCCACTCATTTTTGATGAATCATTTACTATTAATTTTATCCCCTTTATTATTCCAAATGAGTACTTTGCTTGACTTAAACAAACATAATTTCTAGGTAAAGTCTTCCACAAGGAAATGATAACTCCTGTACATGCCAGAGCAGAGGTACAGTGCAAATGACTGCAGAAAAGATTTCATGATCAATCACAATTACCTCAACCATCCTGAATCACCTTATTTACAGTCCTACGCTCTACCTATTGAGCTAACTGGATAGTCAAAACAAAATGAGACTGGTTCAAGTTATTTTAACTTAAGACATGTACAGTAGGCTGGTCTAAGTTTGTTCATATAAAAAATATGACTGGTTCAAGTAATTTTAACTTAAGAGATGTAGACTGGTTTGTACACAATACACATACAGAATTAGACTGGTTCAAGTTATTTTAAGTTACCAGAGAGATGAAGCCCCTCAGCTAGACCATATGGAAGGTATGAGAACACTAACATCATTCCTATCTCCAGTGACGGAGTTTTCCTCAGATCTACAAACTTGAGTAACTAGGCAACAGTTAAAGGTTATAACATTCAGTTTATGAAACCTTTTATAGCCAGTCAATATTGTACTATTGTCTGAATGACCAATGGTCAGTTATTACCAAAACACCATTGAATATGCATAAGTTTTATTCTAACTATGAAAGCATATGTTTACATGTCAAAGCATTCTATCAGACTGGTACCAAAGAAATAAGTCTACACTGAGTTAAACTCATGTGACTAGAAAGCATATATATCATATTACACAACAAATTATTTCATCTATAATTGTAAATTTAATCCTCTATTTCATCAGCATGTTTAACCAAACATAAAACTAAAGTTTGAGTAATCTTAATTTAAGTCTCTGATAAGATTTCATTACAAAGTAACATTGCTAGTTTTTTTATATTGGTTGCTCATTCGTTTTAATTAATTAAATATTCAAGCTCAAAATTTATATTATAGTCAAATATTGTTTTAATTTTTGTAAATATGGCTAGATAAATTATAATTTGGCTAAAAGATTTCTTAATCATGTATTTATTTTTTCTTCATAATAATTATGAAATTAGAAAATCATGTAGTTTGGCTAAAAGAATATTTTAACCAGTGTGAACCCGGATTGTTACATAGTTGTATAATTTTTTCATGAATTTGAATACTTTATTCAGTATGGGGGTTTACATCGCACCTACACAGTAAAGGTCATATAGCAACTTTCTACTTTTACTAGCAGAGGAAGACATCAGGAACCCCTCCCTGCATTATTTCAGGCATGAATGGGCACCTGAGTAGAACCATCGATGTTCTGTAAGCTAGCTGGATAATTTCCTCATTAAAAGAATCCAAAGTTCCTAGTGAGATTCGAGCCCACAGCAGTGATTGACAAGTGGTTTGAAGGTTTGATAAGTCAACAAACGTAACTATACATCATAAGGTTTGAGGTCAGATATACTTAATCCCTCATAACAATATCGAAGTTTTTTCTATATAATAAAGGATACTAGAGCACTGACGAGCCCTGACACCATTCCTATGAGACTTGAACCAAAAAACATGACCAGAAATCTCAGTACAGCTTTAAAGAATGCAGCAGACCCTGTAACATTTGCCATCTCTGGATTCTCAAACTCTAATACAGTCCTGTAATATAAATAAAATAAAACATGGTTACTATAATTATAATCATTCATTGAACATGTAACTGTCCTCAAGCAGATTCAGGACTTTCAATTTTGTTTTCAAACTATAAGAATTGAGCAGTCATAAGAATAAGAGTCTGGTCTAAATAATGTTCTACATTGATTATTGATTATTTTTTCACAGTAAAATATAAAATTCAACACAATTATGGCAAATTGTCAAGTTATTTTTATTTTTACCTGTTAACTGACAATTGCCACATGGATGGGCATAATGCCACTTTTACCAGACTTATTCTAGTGGATTTCAAGGTTATACCGTCTTACATTGTTAACACTCGGTATTTCACTGACGTCGCTATCATTACATCAGGATAATATAACAATTTATACTTACACAGTTAAAGTAATGGCTACAGCATCATTAAGTATACTCTCTCCAAACACCAACATGTATAGCACTTCATCTACATTCAGTGAGTGAAATATAGCTAGTGTTGCGACAGGATCTACTGCAGATATCAGTGAACCAAACGCAAAACTCTCTACTACAGTAAACTCATATGCTACCTGTGCCTGAAACAAATTGTATGCGTATATAGCTATTTATTAGTTAATACAAATTTATTTTTGTTTGATGGTGTTGGAAGCTATAAGCTTATTGAAACACTATCAAATCCATTCCTGGAATTAACCAGTACTAAGCAATGAGGGTAAAGTTTCTTGCTCAAGGAAACACAGCTTGCCCCTGACAGGGTTTGAACACACGTGGCCAGAAATCCTTGGATTACTTGTCATGCATTAACCACTCAGCCATGCCAACACTCCATCTATCTATATGGGTATAATGTTGATTAAAAGATGAAAGTATTATTTGTCTTTTCTGATCTTTTAATTCAGGGTGTTGGTTTAAACTTGTTTTAAATCTGTCTTTCATCAATGACTGTTATCAGTCTCCTTAAATATTTATCAGAATCGTAGAAATCACATTGAAACAAGAGCCATCACAAGGCAACACCGCCACTACAACACAACACCGCAATGACTGTAACAATACCTCTAATATTTTTCTTCCATTAAAAGTCGAGCTAAAAATTGACTTGTTTTCAATCTGTTCATGATTTTTTTAATTAAATCTATAATGTAATTTGAAAAGGCATTATTTCTTATTTCATCCTCTGAATCTAATCTTTTAATAGTTTGTTTGCTCTATATTATTGGGTAACTACATAGAACTGCAAGATATGCTTTATTGCAGCAAACATTTTCAGAAACATTTAGTTTGGGTTTGATATGGGTTTGGTAAGGGGTAATGGCTGAGAAGTGTGTTTGTGTTGGAAATCAACATAGATGTCAATGATATGTGTAATAATATAACTTACTAGTATAAATGTTATCAAATAGTTTATATACCTGTCCCAGTAATATAACTTACTAGTATAAATGTTATTAAATAGTTTATATACCTGTCCCAGTAATATAACTTACTAGTATAAATGTTATTAAATAGTTTATATACCTGTCCCAGTAATATAACTTACTAGTATAAATGTTATCAAATAGTTTATATACCTGTCCCAGTAATATAACTTACTAGTATAAATGTTATTAAATAGTTTATATACCTGTCCCAGTAATATAACTTACTAGTATAAATGTTATTAAATAGTTTATATACCTGTCCCAGTAATATAACTTACTAGTATAAATGTTATAAAATAGTTTATATACCTGTCCCAGTAATATAACTTACTAGTATAAATGTTATCAAATAGTTTATATACCTGTCCCAGTAATATAACTTACTAGTATAAATGTTATAAAATAGTTTATATACCTGTCCCAGTAATATAACTTACTAGTATAAATGTTATCAAATAGTTTATATACCTGTCCCAGTAATATAACTTACTAGTATAAATGTTATAAAATAGTTTATATACCTGTCCCAGTAATATAACTTACTAGTATAAATGTTATCAAATAGTTTATATACCTGTCCCAGTAGATAGATTCCACCTCCTACAACCATAGCTGATATAGCTGTACCTATTATAGCAAACACTAAAATTGTTCCTATGTTCTGGAAAAAATTGCCCTGAAAATGAAAATAGATAAGTTTTTATATATTTCCTGCCCCGAAACTGCCAAATAAATGTGGCTGTCACACCAAAACTAGACAGGAATATAGCCTTACCTGTGGTGCTGGGCAGACATTTACCAAGTATATTATTATCTTAATATCACCATTAGGTAGAAATTTCACCATGATATCAAACTGCTTTTACACTGTGCTATTCTTTAAAGGTAGAGTGGAGGGTAAATGACTGCTTTGCAAATGACTGTTGTATTACTAGGTAATGTATAAATAAATAATGCCACCCAAGGTACAACCAATGATTTTAAGAGACATCTAAATAACTTTTTAAAAAAATCCATATTCGGTGCATGACATTTGTCATTGTTATTTATGCTTTGAAATGATCACATCGAATTTCCCTTTTCTTGCACAAAAATTGTGAAATTGACAATACAGCACAAACATATGGCAGATGAAAACAATAGGTACCTTGTGAAGATTATATCCTGATTCAAATATAATAGGTGGTAACAAAACAATAAAGAATATTGTTGGTGGAAACGCCTCTTCTTTCTGAAATACATGTACATGAATATGATCATCAAATAAAATTAAAGATCCTGTAACAAAATTATTTTTTCATGATTTTATTAAATAAATATGATGCTCAAATTAAGATTTGTCAATATTGTAAGTTCAAATAAGCATTATTTATAAAGATATTATCCAATTTAACATTTCATGTAAATAAAGGGAGGTAATTAGAAATTTATTTTCTATAAATTCTAAGTCAAATTTTCCAATAAGAAATAATAGCATGTAATTTATTGATTAAATATAATGTGAACAAATATTTGCATTACACATTTTACATATTCTTTGATGTTTGAAAATTGATTTATTTGCATATTTATATACATATATAATTTTTTGCAAGTGTGGTATACACACAGTAACAATATCAATCACAAAACATACAGGATCTAATATAATCCATTAATCAAGACAGAAACAGGCATGTAACTGAGAAAATAAAATTTAATATTAATGTACTTTTTAGAATGTTAACAACTGCTCAAACTGACTACAAAAAACATTATCACTGCCTAATATCGGAGGCCTTTATAAGTACTCATCAAACACAAAGTCCTATTCAGTAATAGTACAAGTGTATATTACTTTAAAATGGACATTTTCAAAGTTTTACGTACCAATTGCCATAAGTAACAATTCTCTATATATAAACATGTATTCAAATTTCTGGTTCTATGAAATTTTTGAAATTGAAAACATGAGTTTTTTTTTGTATGTTAATAACAATAATATGTAACAACAAAACTTACACTCCAATTTCCAAATTTAAAAATCTTGAGAACTAGTCCAATCAAGGCACCTGAAAAAAAGAAGTGAAGTATTTCAATTTAAACTGGTCAAATAAACTTCAGCCATGATTGAACATTATCTATACATACATGGAGGGATGTTCCCTTATTACATTACACAGGCTTGATTCTGATTAATACATTTAAGATTATTGGTTTTAGCCTCAGGTTATTTATTTCATCTTTTCTCCATGGCTTAAAAATTGGATGTCTTGACACTTGTCACTTTCTGGAAATGACAAAGTTATCAAATCTTGTGGGAATAAAAAGACAGAGAAAATTTAAAATCTTTTTAGTAGAAATTTTACTGTAAGTTTTATATTGTGTACCACATGCTTACCAACTAATACAACAGCAATACTTTCGGGCAGGTAGTGGAACTTTGTCTGTAGCAGCATATGTGTCATCAGGATACATATTGCTGAAATCAAAATTGAGCCGTGTCACAACAAAACCAACATAATGTGTTTGCGACCAGCATGGATCCAGACCAGCCTGCGCATCCGCGCAGTCTGATCAGGATCCATGCTGTTCGCTTACAAACCGGATAACAAGTAGAAAAACTGATAGCGAACAGCATGGATCCTGATCAGACTGCGCGGACGCGCAGGCTGGTCTGGATCCATGCTGGTCGCAAACCCATTATGTTGGTTTTGTCATGACACAACTCAAATCACTATAGTAATGAAACATCCAATATAAGTTATCTTTTTTATTTTCTTTCTTCAGTATATTTTTTTAAAATTCCGTTTCAATTTCTTCTTGAAAATTGAAGGGTATAAAGCTATATCTTATGATAGATTTACGTAAAATTTATCAGTAAAATTATATTGTTTATATACATGTAATCATAAGGTTGATTCTTGAGAAAGCCGTTAACATAGAAAGTCTCTATTATTTGACTCACATAAATATTGTATGTAAACAGAATAAAATGTTCCATAACAAAATATTATACTGCTATATTTACAGTTTGTCAATGATCTTATTGGTTTAAACATATTTATTTAAGCTCGATTGCGAAACAAGTTCTTGCAACTTATAGTAATCACTTTCGAGTCCGCTTCCTGGAACCAACCAGTACTGGTGTCATATGGAGAAACATGGTCGTGACCCGAGTAGGGCTCAAACCCATGATCTCTGGGTTGAGAGGCACACCTTAACCACTAGGCCACCGCTCCCCTTGAATGATTTTATTCATGTGACATTCCCTTTTAAGGCAATATTTTACCATATTTCTTTCATACAAGCATTTTGGAAGTATTCAGTTCAATTCAAATAATAATTTTTTAGTGTAAATATGAAGCTTTATATAAAGGAAACTTTAATTGTTAAAAAAAACAAAACTTTTTTTGTTTGTTCCCATCACTTTATTAGTATAAACATAAAAAAATTCATACTCACCAATGACAAGTAGAATAAAGAATATTGTCAAACTGCTTTTATGTTCTTTTTCTGATTCTCCAACATCAGGAAGATCGGGTGGACTGTTAGTCGGCTTTAACGTAGGCTTTGGTGTTGTAGTAGTAGTTGTTGTTGTTGTATTGTCACTAAAAACAAATACAACTTTGTTTAATATATGATATCAATTGTCAGTACCAATATAAAATTTCAATTTTATACAGAATAATTACGCTATATTTCAGGGACTTCTTTTAGGTCAAAGTCAGGCGGTAACTTTTCCTTAAATCTTGAATACTTTGCCCTAATTTATCTGACAAAAGAAGTCCACTTTGCCTAAAATTCCAAAATAATATATCCTTCATGTACTTAATTGTAAGTATGTGTCCATGTCCATTTTGTTAAACTGTCACAAGCAGGTAGATTTGTAAACATGTAACCGAAATTAAGCATGTACTGATCTCTAAATTTTGATAACATAGTTCCAGTCTCATGTTTCAATAACAAAAATTGCTTCAGATTTCTTTCATTTTTATGTAGAATTACAAATGTAGACTACATGCATGTAGAAAATACTTAAAATACAAAAGGTCTGTTATAATTTTTACCATAAGAAGAATATTTGGTGACTTGACTTATAAATCTAATCAGTTCACAAACATGTATGTTGAAGCTATTGATAACAAACATTAATAATGTTACATTATATTTGATGTTTCAAGTAAATCCCTTAAGAAATAAAGAAGTTACAGAGAGAAAAAATAACTTCAAACTTTAAGAGGCAGATTATTCTGGAAATATCAATTTTTTATTTTTTATTTATTTATACATTCAGGAACATGTAGCACATGATACAAATAATAAAATCATACAGTTAAGAGATAACATATAAATCATATATATGAAATGAGATCATAAAACAGCATAAAAGAGCTATAGTTATATAAAATATACCAGTAATTAAGATGCTGGAGTTGGTATGAAATATAAATTTGAAGTTTGAAGTACAGACTTTAAGAAATACTGAAGTTAGCTATTAGTTTCATATTGACTCCTGACTCCAGATCTTATTTTTGTGTCCGGACAACCAAATTAAGTTTTACAGGCAAATTCGTTGAATTCATATCCCCCGCCAAGTACTTATTATTACTAACACAACAACTGGAGGCTTTATTTACATAAATTTATCATGGCATGCAAATTTCCTTTTCATATTGATGGTTCCCAAAAAGTCTTCTTAAGTGCTCAAAAAAGTGATTCCTTTTTCGAAACTATAATGACTTCCTAGCTAAGCATCATGGTACATGTTTGTTTACTTCCTGTCTTTCATAAGCAAATTGTATTTAGGTAAACGTCCCATAATTCATACACAATTTTTTTTTTTTTGTAAAAAACAACGAATGTATAATAAACAAATAATAAGATCGCAATCCACGATCTCTGGACTGATGAATATTCGTACTCGATTTTTCATTTTGATTCGTGATTATCGGACTACTCGAATACTCGCCCCAGCCCTACAAATCAATGGCCATAACTCTGTCTTGAAGGGTCTGACCGAAACAAAACAACGATATGCACATCTCCCCTTGGTATTGAAGGTTCCCATAAAGTTTTATAGAATTCCAGCCAGTAGTTGAAGAGAAGTGAGCGAGGAAACGATGATTACTCTATATGCTTACTGCATAACTAATCAAGGGCCATAACTCTGAGTTAGAGGATCTGACCAGTTTAAAGTTTTGTTCAATTCCAGCCAATAGTTGCAGAGAAGTAGTGCGGCAACCATTATTGCTCTTATGCAATCTGCTTTACTACTCAAGGGCCATAACTCTGAGTTTAAGGGTCTGACCAGATCAAGGCTACGATATTGGCATTTTCTCTTAAAATTGAAGGTTCCCAGAAAGTCTTGTTGAATTCCAGCCAATAGGTGCAGAGAACTTGCGAGGAAACGAATTTTGGACGAATGGACGGATAACTGGAAGAACAACCAACTGGAAGAATTTTTGTTTTTCAGCAAATGCAAATTTGGCCCTGAGTCATCTCTGCCCTATACCAACTTGGCACAGGTCAACTCGACCCATAATTATTTTAATGATTATTGTTATAACTTTTAACTTATTTTTTTCATCATTGCTTTTTAATATTGTTTAACATTTTTGATTCATACTTAATGATCAGTGTTTCCGTTACTCTGCATTTCTTGCATTTTTGATGGTACAAAATATCTGCATTTACTTACAAAGTGTTAAAATGACCTGGTTTACATGTATACTGAACATGTTATGATTAATATTGAATCATTAAAGCTTTCCGTGCCATAGGCAGCACCTAATTTCATATTACTGACAGTTTAAACGATCAATTTCTGTTCTAAGTAAGATAAACTTAAAGAGATTTTATTAACCAAATATACAAAAACAAACATTTAATCTTATCAATTCTTCATTTTGATAACCTTAAGGATGATTTAAATGATTGTTTTAAAATAGGGTGAAACTTTACTTATCTGAGGTGAATCATCACTTAAGTGAAGCAAGTTGTTATTGGGTAAATCGTCAGTAGAGCGAATTGTTATCAATTCATTCTATCATAGCTCTAGATTAGTCTAGATTTGTCAATAACAAATAAATGTAACAAATCTGTGTTTGACTACAAAATGAAAAATCAATCACTACATCAGGGCTCCCACTGGCTCAAATAAAATAATAGCCAATATTTTTAACTTAAAAAAATAATAGCCAAAATTAAGTTCAGCGGACTATTGAAGATTTAGCGATAAACAACATAAGCAGTTGATTAAATTAACATTACATATACAACTTTTTCAGTTTTATAAGGATTCTCAAATAAACTGATATATTTGTGTATATTGATAACTACATTGTACCTTTTTTAGGTACCACAACTTGAATTGTTATTGTAGAACAGAATAAAAATGTAATATAGTATATTCTAACACGACCCGCATTTTTCCCTATTGAACATAGAAGAACCGAAAGTGTGTGTTATTATGCAATAGAGTCACTGTTTGACGATCTATATTTAGACATGTGACATAATCATTATACATGTGACGTAACCACTATAAAATCCGACGCGCTGACAATAAGTACGGAAAAAAATCAGGCGCAATTTTGCATAATAGCAGGTACGGCAGCATTTATTTGTTTATGTCGTGTTAGAATCGAAATAATATATCCAAATCGGTGATTTTATCGCTGGATAACATCACTGTTTGTCGTTCGTATGCGCATCATTATATCACTCGGGCTACGCCCTCGTGATATAATTCCTCGCATCCGAACTCCAAACAGTGATGTTATTGAGCGATAAAATCACAGTTTGGGATATATTGTTTCTTAAATAACTGTATGACAATAATATCAAAAATTCATTATAACTTTACATAATGATGTTATCGGACAATTTCTTTTGTTTGTTCTTATCAAATTTTGTAAGCTATAACCACTGTCAATTCCACATTTCACACAGAACTGGAGTAGATTTAGGTCATATTAGCCTATAGAAATAACTCTTGCAAACTCATTCACAGAATGCAGCCTTTTTTCTGAATTACTTACTGAAAAATGCCATCATCACCAATTTAATACAAATTTTCTGCCATAATAGTAAAGATTTTTAAACAGAACATAACTTTTTCACCTTTAAATAAATATCAAAATTATCGGTGTCGCGAAAATATGTGACAATCGGATTTTTTCCTGTTTTCTGAAGAAATATTCACAATTTTAGTTGTTGTGGAAATAGTTGTTTGGAAGTTAATACTTTTTAAATATTTTTCCATTGTTTTTCACTGGCGATTTTGTCAAGCAGCTTAAAACAACAAAAATTAAAATTTGCAATTACTGCAATTTACGGTAAATTTTGGGTTGGTCAATATCCAGTTTATCAATTTTAAAACGATTTTTGAGGCTAATTGACGAATATTTGATGGCTTTTATTATGCTGGACAATATCTTTAGAGTAAATATACAATTTTACATCTTGCATGTATTTTTATCACCTCGGGCAATATTGTAAGCAGCATGTGACCGATAAAAAGTTGACACTCAATTAAATCCACCCCGCTGGTGTTAATTGGGTCTACTGCATTCTTTATCGATTTTTACACCTTATTTATAAACACTGTTGGAAGTAGAAAATAATCGCCAGATTTTGTAGCCAAAATGCAAAAATAATCGCCAATCTTATAAAATAATTGCAAATGGCAACTATGGCAACTGACAGCTTGAGTCCTGCTACATGCTGTTAAAAACCATCCATATCTGGGAGTTGAACTAGCACAGCAAAAGCTTCTAGTACTCTTGGTTTTATCAAACGGAACTTAAAACATTGTCTGACCACAGTAAAAGAAAGAGCTTATCAAACTTTGGTTCCACCTAAACTGGAATATGCGTCACCAATTTGGAATCCTCAACAACTAAATACATCAAAGAAAATCGAACAAATACAACGAAACGCGGCAAGATTCGTCATGAATAAGCCATACAACCCTAATAATCCATCTAGCGTATCATCAATGCTACATGAACTAAAATGGCCAACACATTCAACATTCATTCTTTGCAAGAACTGTTCCTTATTGGAACAACCTACCAGCTAACATCACAACTGTGGACAACCTGGACAGTTTTAAGACTGCGTTCCAGTCTTACGCATTTGTGTAAATTATTAAACATCGCGTATAGTGTACAAACATGTTCGGATTTTACTTCACACTACATTTTCACATTATTTTAATTCGAACGCCTGGTGCCGCACATGGGGGACAGGTTTTCAGCCCACGTTTTTATGGAGCACAATTCACATCACCACTCATCGCTGATGTCTGCACAGCGGATTTACAGACTAGTTCATCATAGAAGTAGAAGAAGCCTAGACTCTAGGCTAGATAAGTTTAGAGTTTATTAGAAGGGACAAAATTACCCATCTGTTAGATTCCTTGCATCTTCTAAAATGTTTTTCAGAAATGAACTTTCATCATCGTCTGGGTCTGGTTGTACTTTTGGTTGCTGATTTTTACTGTCTACCTCCTGGGGTCCTGTGGCAGCTTTTGCAGACAGCACGGTCCCTAGCATCAGCAACAGGACAAATATCAGCGTTGAAAAGTTAAACAGAAGCATCCTTCCTGTATATTTGGAAACGAAATCTATTCTGCGTCAATAAAAAAATTGTTTAACAGCTCATGCATGATGCATATAAGCACAAATTTGTGTTGACATGTCAAATGTGTCAATGTAAATTCACCGGAAGTAAACACACATCAACCGGAACAAACTTTTTTCAACCCAAAGATTTTTATTCTCCAAACATTATGATATGCATTTTAACAGAATTCTGAATATTCTATTGCAATAATCACCGTAGAAAATGTCAAATCAAATTTAATTTTCCTTTCATTGCCATAGAATTAGGTGAGATTTAAAATAGCTTAAACATTGAATGTGATTTACAACTTTTTGTGAAAAAAAGTCTTTTTGGTAGTTTAATTAAAGTCTGACTCCTTTGAATGATTGGAAAAAGCGTTTTGTTGGACTAAGATGAAATGGAAACTGAAAATATTGTTAATGTTGTACCAACCAAACAGCAGCTTTTGACAACAAAAGGCAGAGTTTCTTGCACTGAAGATGGCTGCACAAAGAGTTTTGCACACAGTGGGGCCTTGAGAATGCACACAGTGAAATCCCATGGCCTTATAAAGGTTCGTTCATTTGTCTCTTACTTGTCTAACAGTGTCTAAGATGGTCGTCTATGAGGGTCCGGTCTATGATCTAATGATCAAGGATTAATTTTGAGTATTCACAGAGGTGTAAGAGTAAGACATACCCATGTATAGGGTAATTATCCTGCACAAGCACAGACTGCTGTTGCAGGAATGTTATAACATCAATAAAATTGACAACACTTTTATTGTTATAGTGAGGAGAGTCCTCTAAATACATACAGTAGAAAAAAAGGGCGTGGTCGAGTTCTGTAGCCTCTGGTTGATCTGTAGTTATTCAGTTCACGAAGGTCTCGACACATGGTTTGTTCAAATTGATCTGGGAATGGCGGCTACAATAATAAGGCTGATAATTGCAACAGTATTTGTTGCTGTCAAGAATGCCAATTTTTAAGTGAAATCCACATATTTCTTAGTCTCTAGGACCACTTTTGTTAATCAGGCCTCGACATTAGCGGTGGTCCGTTGGTCCGAGACCACCTGATTTTGGCAAGGACCACCTAATTTTAAAATGCACTGGTCCGTCGGACCACTTGAATTTTCTGGTTTGTGCAAGGCTCATTTGGGAGAATAGCGATTTGGTCAAGACATGTTTTATACATTTTGTTTAAAACCATTTGTCCTATGAACATGTATATGGTTCATTAATAGATTAATCTGATTAGAAGGTCTTAAATCATCAATAACTTTAATTTTAAATCGCTAAAAATTTTGTCTTTGCAAGTTAAAAGAGTTAAGAATTTGTGATATTAAGCTAGGTACAAATTGCATTCAAATAATGCTATTAATGCTGCATCGTCGGATTACCACGGCGGAACCTTTAACATTTATGTTATGTTACATGTTAATCACACGTGGGTATCCGACGATGGTAATTGTGATATTGTATGGGATACCGTATGAACTTTAAGTTTCATATACATGTACATGAATAATGGCAGCAAACTAAAGGAACTGGAAAAAATACATCTAGTAATTCTTTGCTTAAGTTATCTCCATTTTAACTGTTTAACGATAAGAGATCCATTTCTTCCAGAGTTAAAATTACTTTTTTTTTAAATAAAAGGTTAAAAATACTCATTGTAAAAAATAAATATCAACCAACAAGCAACAGGGCGGTTAATTCTGTTTTCATAATAAATCTGTGAGAAAAATAAGCTAAACTATAGTTATATATAAAGTTGTTTTTATTTTATCCTTTAGATATTTTCTTGTTTTAAGAAAATTTATTAGTTTTTATCAAAAATGTTAATCTATAAAAGATACATGTAATTATCATGATTATAAGACATACCACGTATCAGCAATGAATATTTGAATAACAGTAAGCAAAAACCAGACACAAATGGTTTCACTATTCCCTAACTTGAGTTGAGGGAGAAATCACTTCAATGTAAAAGTTAACACAAATAAGAGCCCTGTTGTGTATTTTTGAATGAGCTATGAAAAAGAAACAGATAACTTCACGACAGAATACCTATTAACTTGCTCTCCTTAATTTATAATTAGATAAAAATATTATATCTAAAATGTCTGTTTTCTTTAAAGGTTAATAATACATCTTTGTCATCAATTTTAAGCATACTTTTTTCTAAACTTGCAGTAAACTGATATAATAATAATAATTGACCACTTGACTTCTTGAAGGACCACCTTAATTTCAAATCTAGTGGTCCGGCTTACCACCTGATAAAAAAGTTAGTGTCGAGGCCTGTTAATGATGTAAATCTCTTTCTCCAAGTTTACTACCGTCTATTATCCAATTGTAAATACATGTGTATGTAGACGGTACCACCTTTCGAATATGTTTAGTTACTGTAACTATTATAGTAAGCCAATGAACAATAGCATGACATATACTGGCCAATCATAACATAGCATCTTTCTGTTGAAGTCTGTCACTCAAAGAAAAAATGTCTGCCGATTAGCAAAAGTGATATTAGTTAATGAAAATGTTTGATAAGGCACTAAAAGGAAATGAATTTTAGACCTTCGGAAAGAATGAAAATCCTCGACCCCACCTTTGCTCTGCCCTTGACCTGCATGGGGGCCTTTATAGCCCCCATGACCCCCCTTGCTTTCATTTTCCTCTTTTTTTCTCAAATCACAGTCATATTGGCATTCCTGTGTTGTCTAGGAGTAGGAACCTCCATTTTTCGTGGAAGCATTGACTAATTTACTGAAGTTTCTGGTTTAAAGTACTACAGTCCGTACCATTTATTTGATAATTTGCTGTATTTGTGGCACTTCATCCCACTAAAATATAATGACAAAACATATTATTTAAATCAGTGACATGAATGAATGATTATTTTTAGACATAACATACATGATCATTTTGGTTTGTATTTTTGGTTTAAATTTGATTGATGTGCTCATTTTTCAGTTTAGACTAATACATGTACTTAATTTTTCTATCTTTTTCCAGACTGACAATGACAAATGTTTATTCCACAAGAGAAAGTCAGCTGATAAAACAGTGTTTAGGTTTCATTGTCCAGTCAACTTGTGTATGTATGGTGAAGGATCCAAGAAGTATTTTAATGCTTACAGTTTAGTAAAACAGGTAAGGTTTCATTGTAACTAAGTTTTTGCAGGGTTGTCTTATCCATACAATTTCTTAAAAGATTTGTTTTAATATATCAATCACATACAACAAAGAGTGTTTTCTAAATTTTGAGGTCGTCCAAAATGCATGAGGCAGTCATTTTTGCTTCCAGCCGCCTGACAACTCTTCAAAACAGTGCACACACACAATCAACTTTCCAATACTTTTCCAAAGTTTGGGAAGAAACTTCATCTTACTTTTTAGCTCACCTGTCACAAAGTGACAGGGTGAGCTTTTGTGATCACTTTTCGTCCGGCGTCCGTCCGTAAACTTTTACTTTAAATGACATCTCCTCATAAACCACTAAACCAATTTCATCCAAACTTCACAGGAATGTTCCTTTGGTGGTCACCTTTAAAAATTGTTCAAAGAATTTAATTCCATGCAGAACTCTGGTTGCCATGGCAACCGAAAGTGAAAACTTAAAAAATCTTCTTTTAAAGAACCCAAAGAGCTAGAGCTGAGATATTTAGCATGAAACATATTCTAATGAGTGTCTACCAAGTTTGTTCAAATAAAAGCCCCGGGGTCAAAATTGGCCCCGCCCCAGGGGGTCATTGATTTTCCCTATAAATTATGCATATAGTAAAAACTTAAAAAATCTTCTTTTAAAGAACCCAAAGAGCTAGAGCGGAGATATTAGGCATGAAACATCTTCTAGTAAGTGTCTACAAAGTTTGTTCAAATAAAAGCCCTGGGGTCAAAATTGGCCCCGCCCATAGTAAAAACTTAAAAAATGTTTTTTTTTAAGACACCTAATGAGCTAAAGCTTAGATGTTTAGCATGAAACATCTTCTTATGGGTGTCTACCAAGTTTGTTCAAATAAAAGCCCTTGGGTTAAAATTGGCCCTGCTGGGGGTGGGGCGCTTTATACAGGTGAGCGACTTCAGGGCCATTATGGCCCACTTGTTTTAAATAAGTAAGATAATTGTTATCAGTGTACATGTATAAGTAAAACTTTAAAAACATTTTGACATACAAGTTATATAATTTTCAAATTCAATTTAACTAATTTTCACAAATTTTATATTCCAGCATTACTTGAAAGTTCATGCAGAGAGAGAATACCTGTGTAAACGTTGTGACTCGGCATTCTTAACAGATCGTGACTTGAAACAGCATCAGGAACGTTGTGGCGTGTTGTATAGCTGTGGCACATGTCCTGTGAAATATACAACAAAGGAAGCTCTACATACGCACTGTAAACGACAGACTCACTCGTACCCAGAAGAATATTTGAGACAGACTAAACAAAAGGCTGATAAGAAACAGTAAGTGAAGTAAATTTTATTACAGACTGCTATACATGTATATAATGATTGATGTTTTTTAATCTTCAGAAACTTTCACATATCAGTAAGACATTCTATAAAACATATAACATATCAACCGTGGGGCTGTTGGAATATGTTTCATCTACCAGTGTCAGTATTGATTAAAATCCTTTGTTTAAAAAAAATGAAGAAACATATATGTTGCTATTTCATGTAACAGTTTTGCAATCACCATTCTCTAATTTTCACTTGATCTAAGACTTTCATGGTTGTTTTTTTTCACAGTTTGATAAAGAGGCACTTCACTTTAATTTTGGGAAAAACAACTTAGTATTTTTGCAAAAGGGGGAAAAAAACCTTGTTGAAAGGGAAAGCTGCATTATTTTAAAGAGGGGCCTGCTATAAAAGGGGGAAAAAAGCCCTGACTTTTCCTTTCATGTGTCAATAGGAAAAAAGGTGATGATCTCTTGTTTTATCAGATGATAGGATGATATAAATAGTATTAGATGTTCTAACAGGCTTTGTAATATTTCATAATAACTTTGATATTATTATCTTTTTGTTTCAGAAATGCCATTAGTAAGCCTAGTCAGCCAACTCAGCCGGTGGTCACTATTATCACACAACCTATGTTACTAGTGCCTGTACAATCTAAGGAACCAGTCAAGCCAAATAGAAGTATACAACCAAAACCAGTCAAACAAAAACCAGTCTATTCCGGAATAAGGCCAGATGTCAAGGTCAATGAAGGTGAAGGACATGTGATATCAGCTGTACGACAGGATGTGTTGATTCAGACAGATATATATGGAGTAGATACATTGAACCTTAATAAAAATAACACAGAGGGAAATAGAACTCTCTATAGCAAAACATTAACACATCAGAACACAAAATGTGTTTCAACAAGTCCAAATGAACAGACAAAAGTCATTATTCCAATGACCCCTGACTCACATTATCTGACAGAGGGTAGCTATTCTTCAAATTGGAATGATAAAGCAAAGAAGCAAAATTTGGTCAAAAGAAGGCTAAGTCAGCAGAAAGAATTTAATCCTTCATCTCCGAGAAGAAAAAAAATGAAATCAACCACTGGTATCCAGACCTCTGTAAGTTTCATCAAGAAAAAAGGAGTGCCTACAGTAAATAGTACACAAACAACTGGTGATTATATCATAGAAACAGCTCTCAGACACGCGAATATCCAGATAGAAAAGAAGACCGTGGCATCGCAAGTCACTCCACAGAAACCTTACAAACATGACTTGTTACATGATCGACTAGGTATACAAAAGCCAAAGCCAGTTCTGGTTGATTCGTTTAGCCAAGTAAAACAACAGAACATTAGGGCGGAGACGTCACATAATTTGGCAGAGAGCCAAACCATGACCGATATACCACCATCAATTTCAACACAAACACTACAATCATATCTTGTCAACCAGCAAGAGCGACATAGCAAAGCTCCTCTTAGTAGACAAACAAGTTCTTATTATACCACTGAAACACTGCAAGAATCTCTGACTGATAATATTGGCACTGCTTTGATAGAACCTGTATGTAACGAAAATACATTGCCTGTAAACAGGACAGTCTTGAAACCTAATGATAATACAGTACAAATTTATGATGAAAATTTAACTACATCTGTGAATTACGTAATGCCATCGAAGTCAAGACAACTGCAGGGTCAAGGCTCCATGACAAATGATAAAAATGTGCAGGAAACTTCTACAGACATACCGGAATATACTGCAGTGCCTCTTCAAGGAGTACATATTGGGTCAGCTGCATCCAGACTGACTACAAAGCAAAACTCTGAACACAGTTCTTATTCTTCATCAGATGTAGATCCTTTTGAAGAAAATTTCCTAAAAGGTGAAGGCCATGTGTCAAGTGCAGAACAAGGTCACTTCACAAATATAGAACAAGGTCAAGGTCACTTCACAAATATAGAGCAAGGTCAAGGTCACTTCACCAATATAGAACAAGGGCATATGACTGATATGGGGGCACAAGCTATGTCGGCATCTGAATTTGACCATTTACTACAGTCAAGCGGAATTTTTAACAACAATGCTGATTTTCTGTTTGGTGCAGGCAACAATCAAAGTATATCAACAAGTACAAAGGACATAGGGACAGAGTCATGTGAACTAGCCAGCGAGCTTGACTTCCTGGATGCAAATACCCATACCATTGATATGAATACTCAGACAGTTGATTTCAGTTTTTTGGAAAATTTTGAGCCTATTGATTCAAATACTCAAACAGTTGGTGTGGGGGCAGGGCTTGACTTTCTTGATATGGTTATGACAAATATGGAGACCCAGACATTGAACGATGATGATTTGGCAAGTCTTGGACTTTTAGATAAACCATTATTGCCAGGCACCATCCATACATTCACAGGAGGTAATTTGGCTGATGTAGGAACCAGTAACTCCACAGGGGCGTGTGTTGGAGTTTCAATTGGCACAGATGATAATTTCAGTTACACCAAAAATGATAAATTATATAGTGAAGTTGGAATAGAAGGAAATACTGGCTCTCAAGTTTCATCTTCAACCAGTCCTTGTTTTAGGGAACCTTTATCATTAAATAAAAGTGGAACACAGTCTGTTAGAAAGATTCATGCTTCTAGAAACTCAGATCAATCAGAGTACAGTCCACTTGGTGAAAAAGATGAAAAGGTCAGAGTTCAAACAGAAACACAGACTGTGTCTCTAGATACTATAGAACCATTATTACAGACTGAGACCCAAACACAGGTAGAATCAACAGATACAGATTTTGTTACTAGTAACATGGAAACTCAAACAACCTTTGAAGATCTTCAACAATTGTGTGAATGGTTACAATGAAAAGTTTTACATATCACATGTTTTCGCGAATGCTTAATAAGGAAAACAGATTGGCACTTGTGTGATGATAACCTTATAGTAAAATCATGCCTTAAAAGATAGATCATGAAAAACTGAAACTTTGACCTTTAACAGGTGGTCATTTAAAACAGGTTATTTGTTGCTTGTTGATTTAGAGATGGCCATTTGAGCCGTGTCATGACAAAACCAACAAAGTGCGTTTGCGACCAGCATGGATCCAGACCAGCCTGCGCATCCGCGCAGTCTGATCAGGATCCATGCTGTTCGCTATCAGTTTCTCTACTTGTAATAGGGTTGGTAAGCGGACAGCATGGATCCTGATCAGACTGCGCGGATGCGCGGGCTCGTCTGGATCCATGCTGGTCGCAAACCCATTATGTTGGTTTTGTCATGGCACGGCTCATTTGTGTCAGATATTCTTTTTATTACCTTTTTGCACAGATTTTCTTTATATAACCTTTATGTTAAGGCAGTCTTTGACACAGGGTTAACTTATTTATATGTAAACAACCATCAGGTGAATTCCCATTTAGAACAAAGATGATGGCTAGGTTATAAAGATAATTTACTTTTTATGTTTTAAGCTCAAAGTACAGCTGTCAGGAGCCAAGGGTCATGTTTACAGGGTCATAATTTTACAAGCTTGGGGTCATGGTTATTATTTATTCAAATTGTTCAAAAAGTATATGTAGGTTTAAATTTTTTATATCAATATGTGTATATTGTTTGTAGGTTTCCACATAGCTGTGCACAGCTTTTAAAGATTTGACACATTGCCATATATTCAAGCTGCCATATTTACCTGAATGCCTTTCTTGTTAGCTTGCTCAAATTATAAACATTTCTTAATTTCAATTATATTTCATCAAATTTAAAGGCAATTTTTCCCTTTACCTGCTGGAATCAAAACCCAAAGTGATTAGTCTTTAACTGTAGTGTAGATCATCATCCAGGCCAGCCTGTACATGTGTAAAATCTTGACCAGGCACTGCAGTGTTGGCACTCAGTTTTTGTACTTTGTTAAAGGCACATTATGTCTCAGAAACAATACATATTTCCTTCTATAAAAAGGGCAAATAAAAGTTTTATAACGATTAGGTACTGAAGAAAGTAGTGCTGAATGTGAAATTATTGGTCATAAAAGTAGCAAAATGTAAACAAAGTAGTATTTTGACTTTCATACAAAATACTACATGTCTATTGCAATAACTGTACTTAATTATCTAGAACACAATTTTTTTTTAAAAAGATTTATGTATTAGATAATTATTAAATTACTGTTTCCAGAATGAATAACTGTACTTATTGCCAAAAAGGAACAGAAGAAAAAGATAATTCAGGTTATTGACCTTCAAATATAAAAAGCTTTTGGAAAATAAAAATAAATACATTTCTGTGGCATAATGGGCCTTTAATGAAACCACATAAAATTCAAATGGACTGGTCCAGATTCATTGGTGGGCGAGTCTTATTACATAGATTTAGCAGGTTAAGGGTTTAGTTGTCATATATGTTATGTTGCTTATCCATTATTCAGTACTTGTTTACAGCTTTGTAGATCTCATTTCAGTAAAAATGTGTGCCAAGTTCAAACTGTGCTTGACTTAAGGATTTATCTTGGGGGTGGGGGGGGGGGGGGGAGAGAGAATTATGTGTAAGTTGTTGGAGCCTTAAGAAATATTAAATTATCTGCTGGAATTGAAATACATTTACTACCAGTTTATGACACAAGTGTTTGTTAGAGTGATATTTGAGGCCATAATGAATATTCTAAACATTGCTTCACATGTGCAAATTCCATGCCCAACTTGTCTGACTCAGGGGAGGGGGGTTGTGGGGGGGGACTTTATGGTGACTTTCCATAGAACTGGTCCTTGCACAAGTGAAAATTTCAGCCAGTAGAAAAACAAAATATTCTATCTCTTAACAATTGGGGAACATTTATTTTAGTATGTTCTGTTATGAAGTCTAAGTTAACTATTAAATACACTTTTTGATAACAAAATTTTCACCCCAATGGCAATCTCCTTGACACATGCACGTCAAATGGAGGCAACCTCTCATTGTTAATGTAAATTTAAACTTGCATGTTTAGTTAAATTGTAAAGTTGTTTTGGCTTTTTTTTTTTTTACAATTTGACATATTGATTTTGTTTTAATAGATTCTGGCTTTTCATAGGTGTGTGATATCCAAGAGAATCAGTAAGTGTCCTACCAGAAAAACATCATGTGATTATATTATGTTTGTGATCATGTTATTTTCTGTTTGTTTGTGATCATGTTATTTTCTGTTTGTTTGTTTGTGATCATGTTATTTTCTGTTTGTTTGTTTGTGATCATGTCATTTTCTGTTTGTTTGTGATTATGTTAATTTCTGTTTGTTTGTTTGTGATCATGTTATTTTCTGTTTGTTTGTGATTATGTTAATTTCTGTTTGAGATATGTTTGTGATCATGTTATTTTCCTGTTTGTTTGTGATCATGTTAATTTCTGTTTGAGATATGTTTGTGATTATGTTATTTTCTGTTTGTTTGTGATCATGTTATTTTCTGTTTGTTTGTGATCATGTTAATTTGTGTTTATTGTGTTGATGATGTACATCTTTAGATCTGTTTGCTATTTTAGTGCAATATTTATTTATTACATCTATGATATTAAACATTTATTAAACAATATAAAGAAATCTAAAATGTGTTATGTTACATCTCAATATCACTAGGTTTATCCCATAAAATGAAAGTAACACAGGAATATGAAAAAAGAATTTGTGCAAAAAAATAAGGCTGAATCTGTGCATATGTATGGCAGAAACTAGTCAAAACACACAACAAATGAAAAGACCAATACATTTTGTAATGAACCAAATTGAAAGAAAACAAATTATTTTTGCAACATATGTGCCTAAGTGCAGGTATAGAGCTATGCATTAACTACAGTAAGTTGAGAACAACTGATAATGTAGATTGTCCCAATCGAATTACACCCAAACAAAAAGTACAAGATTTAAAATCATTTAAAACACACAAATTATGTTAGGATATGTTGAAACCGTTCATGTTTCAGTTTTAATACAAAGAATGTTAATTATCTAAATGATGAAATAAACAAATGAAGATTACATATATATATGACAAAAACATTGTAATAATTAATACATTTTTCTTCCGAATAACAGTGAAACACTTTATTGAATCAAAACCGAGAGTAAAAAAAGTTGAACAACAAATCATACATAAAACAGAGTAATAATTTTAAAAAATAGAGCAAGAATGCAAGTAAAAAAATAAGGAAATAACTTGTGTGAGGAAAATATGCGCTAAAATCTTTTTTTGGTGACAGAAATAATTTTAAAAATAACAATTTCTACACAAAGAAGCACACTATTGAACAATTTAAACTGCAGTTTTTTCATGTAAAATGTATTGAAATATTTCATACAATGTATATGATTATGATTTAATTTCCTTCACTTGAAAAAAAAAATGAATACTATAACATACGCATGTATCAAAGCATTTAAAACATTTAACTAAAAACTAGTGTGTACTGTATAGAAGTGTTGACTATGGTAAATCGTTTGACCGAGTTTCTTCCTATTCCTTCCAGTTATATTAATATAAACAAAAGGTCAATATTTCGGAGACTAATGATACATAGCACAAAAAGCTGAAAGATTTTTTAGCTGTAAGACAAAACAGTCGTAGTACATGATCCTGAGATTGGGCTTCAAAGCAACCATAAACTATGAATGGCAGGATTTACTAGACACTATACTACTTTATAACACAAATAAAACTATAATTCAGCGAACAAAAACAATCAAGTGACCACACACTACTTTTTAGCTTGACAAAAAAATAGAAGTATATTGTTTCAGTCATGTTGGCATTCCTGTTGCCGTCTGCAAACATTAATCTTGATCATAACTTTTTAAGTTCTTGGTGTATATCTTCATACTTGGCCACAATAATCCTTGGGACAAGACCTTTAAGTTGGACTAAACTTGACCTTCATTCATAGATGACCTTGACCTTCAAGGTTTAATGTCTAAATTTTGCTTTATTTTTGCAGGTTTTTTTCATATACTGGTACAGCTGTCGACGTTTGAACTGCTGTCTGCCCATTTGATTGTACGGTGTTAGTTGCGTAAGTAGCCGACGTTTTTCCCGCCAAAAGTTTCCGAGATAATTTATCGTCTGCATGATGCCGGTGGCTTTAGCTTGTACGGAAATCGCTGTAATTTAATCGGATACTCCCGTTCGGGTATCCCTATAGTTAGATACAATACAAGAAGACTATTGGCTGGTAATATTAGTATGTTCGTGCGCTGACCCATGCACACGCAAATGTTTATATAAGGCACGTTTTTGGAGGAGCTTAGCGTGTTCATCGCTTAGAAGGCACATGCCATCGGCAGACGATTTGAAGACTTCGGATGGCGCAAAAGATCAGAACTTGTACTAAGGATCAGCTGCCGATGTCCTGACTAATGCCGAGGGGAGTGGCCCTATAAAGTAGGCTAAGACGACGAGAATGGTGTGCCAGGGTGCGTGTGCCCCTAGCACGGGTAAACAATAGACGGGTAGAACGGCAGGCCTTTTGCTTGCATCAACAGCCTTTTTAAGGGCTACCCTTTCATATTGTCTCAGGTTACTGTACATTTAGGTTCTCATTGACCGCCGTACAGTGACCTACTTTTGGCTTAAAATTCATATATTTGGCTAACACTCCGTAGAAATTGCATGGAATGTCCGGGGTCCGTACTCGATAGCGAAAGCCTCACGAGTGGATTGACCCTCATTAAAGTTCATGTAACACAATCTTTTTTATTGTTTTATAACATAAATATGATGCTCAAATTAAGATTTATCAATATTGTAAGTTCCAAAAAGCATTTTTTATAAAGATATTACCGAATTTAACATTTCATGTAAATAAAGGGAGGTAATTAGAAATTTATTTTCTATAAAGTTAAATTTTTCAATAAGAAAATAATGCAAATATTTTAATGATTACATATAATGTGCACAGATATTTGCAGTACATATTTTACATAATTATTCTTCGATGTTTGAAAATTGTTTTATAAGCATAATTAGATTTATATATACATATGTAAAAATTCACTTAAGTGTGGTAACAACCTCAATTACAACATACAGTACAGGATCTTTAAGCATAAACTACAGGAGGAATTACTACGATTCTATCTGTAACCTCGAACATTCGACCTTCAAGAGCTACATTATAGGACATGGAAAGGTAAAAAGATTACATTTGTATATAAACTCACTACATTTGTTAAATTTATTTTCCCAAACATTTAATTCTTGAAAATGACCACTGTACGATTTATACGGGGCATAGCCTAGACAGGCAGTCGAGCCATATTTATTTCCATATACATGTACATTAAAGAGTACACCACACAAATCATCGTCTAGCACATTTAATTATATAGGATATTAATAGGATAGTGTTGTAAGTATTTGCACTATGCTTTGATATATTGTACTATTTTGTGTATTGGAAAATTGACAATTCCTCTCTAGAAGCGAGATACTGACCCAGAATAAAAAATATCTACATGTCTGCTAAAATATAGGTTACTGAAACCGAAAGAGGAAGGTTATTATCACTCGGATTATTCATATTAGGGACGCCGTGTTAGAGGTAATGATAAATTAGATATCAATTTATATGTAAACAGATAAAAATATGTAGAATCTTTAGTTATGTGATAACCGACAGTATATTATACATGTATATTATGAAAGTTTTATCAAGTACGGAAGTTCTAAACTAAACTGATCATATTATGCTAGAATTAAATGGTACGTATTAGAAATATAAATAATTGCTTATTTGCAAAGAAAGCAACCTATTTTGGGATAAAATCAACAAATAACAAAAGAAATACAAAAATTATCGGATCAAAATGAGGATCAATTTTAGGATCAAGATCAAAATTTGGATCAACTGTAAAATGCCTATATCTTGTAAAAATAAAAATAAATTTATTCTAAAATTCATAAACATGCTGTTTCAAGTCCAGTTTTATAAGTTAATACTGAATATATAATCTATGAGGATAAATACTGGAGAATATTTGAGTTTTTTAATTTGATCCTGATCTTGATCCTGATCCTTAAATCTTTGTGAACACGGGGCCTGTTGTCAATGTCTTTAAAGGGTTTGACTGTCTGTCAAAGTACTTCTTTTGTACATTATGTTCTTGTTGAAGTTTCATTCGTACATCTTTTATGTCAATTTTCTGTGGCATAAGTAAAACTGTTGCTCACTGTTTATAGGCAAAACTGTCTGTAGTCGTCTGCTCATTAATAGTTGTGATCGAGATTTACCACATTTCAAGGGGATTGTTCTGTATTCTAAAATACTTATGTAAAGGTCTGTTTAACTGTCTTTGGCTTCTCTAAATAGCCGTTTTATTGTTTGGACTATTTTCTCTACAAGTCCATTACTTTGACTGTAAAGTGGACTGCTTGTCACATGACTACTATTCCAGTCACTTTCAAATGACTTAAATTTAAACGTTTCACTTACATAATAAGGAGCATTGTCTGATATTTCTAATTATAGAAACACTTTTGCTGTAAGTCAGTAAGTCAACTTCTACTGAGATAGTCAACAGTGACTAAATAGTCATCATTTTCCCATGTGAACACGTCTGTGCCCACTACCTGCCATGGTCTATTGGGGATAGGGTGACTTTTTAAAGGCTTTTTAGTGTTTGAATTTCTGTGTTTCAAACAAATATCACATTTCAGTACATAGTCGGCAATGTCTTAACTCATTTTGGGCCAAAACATTATATCACGGGCTCGTTGTAAGAATTTATTTACGCCCATATTGCCTACATGAACAGCCTTTATCTTTTTCTGCCTAAGTGAAAGAGGTATGAGTAATTTTTGACCTCTGATAATAAGGTCTTTTCCCACGGACAATTCATCTCTGTGATTCCAGAAATCTACGATTTTGGCGGGACAATTTGCTCTAGATTCTGGCCAACCACTTAAAATTGTATCTGTTAGCAACTGACATTGTGAATCATTGCTAACTGCTTGTTTGATCTGTTCTAATTTTTGGTCGCTCACAGCTAAGCTTCATAGCACTGTGTGAATATGTAGGTCAAGATCTGCTGATAATTCAGGAAATGTTACTGACAAAGATTTTCGAGACAAGAGGTCTCCTACAGGGATATCTTTGCCTGGGACATGGACAATATTCAAATCATATTTCTGCAACTGTAACAACATTCGTTGTAACCTTGGACTTGCATTGCATAATGATTTTTTCCAAATAGATGAGATAGGCTTGTGATCAGATTCTACGGTAATTAATTTACAATTACCGTTAATATACTGATAAAAGCGCTTTTTCAGGAGAAATGACTGCCTTGATGTTATTTGATCTAAGGAAAGATTGAGTAATAAATACTAGAACCGATTTCCAAGATATGGGGGCTGGGCAGCACCGTCTGACATAAAATTGAAATATTCTCAGTTGGAAAACTAGCATGTAATTGTTTACTATTTTTTAGGTATTTTTATCTTTTTCTATCTCAAATCAATATATGCATTTAAACAACAAACTCTGATTATTATTTACACCCAAAACAAAGAACTCTGATCATTATTTACACCCAAATCAAACACACATCATTTATCAGCCACTTACTAGTATACGAAATATCTTTTCACGTATACGTCTTTTATATGAAACAATACTAGACACCTGGCGAGCCCAAACTCTAAACAAATCATGACCAAACAAAGCGATAAATTCACCACAAAATGAAGAACACAGAAATAACTATTTTTTACAAATCTAAGATACACTATAAAAATCTGGAAACAAAGTGATCCCTCGGAAGCATTAATCACAACAAAATTACATAAGAATTGCAGACTCGGTTTGATTGAGTCTGTACATGAGGGATACTGAATAAGTGTAACATCCCTCACGCCCCCTAGCACCGGCTAAACCACAAACATTCAACCAACAATATTCACTTCACAAAATCTAATCAGCATCACAAAAACAACTTAAACTAAAGCACCCAATATTTACATATATTCTCAAAACAATGCATCAACTAATATAATCTTGACAAGATAAAATCAACCAATTTCAACGAACATATCTTATCAAACAGATATAACTCAACAACCACAACAACTAATTACAACCAATAAAACCTGATCAATTAAGATCACCACAATTATATTCAACCAACTTCAACAAATCAACAAAATTCCCTTCAATATGATAAACAAGATCATCAAGAAAACAACAAATTCTCTTCTCAACCAAAAAAAATAAACGCTACACACTGTCAGCGTGTCTCTCCTAAACTGATGTAAAATCTCTCTGAAAACACGCATATTTACTATTGTACCGATTTGACATTTTAACATGTACACAGAGTTTAATATACGCATAGCAATAGTTTACATTGAAATATGATACACTTTAGTGTATCGTATCGCTGTAGAAAAACATTAACTCTTTGTAAAAAAATATCTACAGTGAATCTGTATGATTATTCTGACAGCCCCCTTTTCAAGAAAACACTCCCGTGTTTTCAAACAATTTGAATAATCTACAGTATAATTTCCCATTTCAGGTATCGAATCTACTTAGGTAATTTGCACACACGTTGTCCTTTCCTTTCACAGATACTATTCTAAACTAATAGTTCTGTAGAAATAATGCCCATCTCATTATTCGGCCACTTTCAACTTTACATTTCTGAATATACGTTAAAGGAGCATGGTCTGTATGTAGCTAAAATTCTTTCCCGTACAAATATTTGTTGAATTTCTTTATTCCAAATACCATTGCAAGACATTCCCTTTCGATAACCGAGTAGTTTCTTTCTCTATTCAACAATTTCTTACTCGCGTAAGCTATTGGAAGCAGACCATCGTCAAACTGTTGAAGAAGTGCAACCCCTACTCCTGTGTCTGAAGCATCACATTGCAAAACAATGACTTTGAAAAGTCTGGAAATCGTAGTATTGGTGATCGTGTCAATACTTGCTTCAATGTCGTAAAGGCCTTTTCATGTTCCGGTTTCCATATGATTATATTTGGCTGTCCTTTCTTCGTAAGATCTGTTAAGGGTGAAGCAATTTCTGCAAATGAAGCAATGAATTTTCTGTAGTATCCAGCTAGACCAAGAAATGATCTCAGTTACTTCTTTGACTCTGGTCGCATAGCTTCTCTTATATGATCAATTTGTTATCTTCCATTTGCATTTGTCCTTTGCCAACAACATGTCCGGTAAATGGTATACTTTCAAATCCAATCATACATTTAGAAGGTTTAACTGTGATCTTTGCTTCTTGTATTCTTTCGAACAACTGTCTCAACGTCTTCATATGTCTCTCCCATGTAACCGTATGTCCAAGCACATCGTCAACATAGTTATCAGTATCATTCAATTCGGAAAGCAACTGCCGCATCATTCTATTAAATGTTGCACCAGAATTGACCATTCCAAATGGCATCTTTCTGAATTGGTAACTACCTTCTGTTGAAGAAAATGCTGTTAGATGTCTTGATTTTGCTTCAATTGGTATTTGCCAAAAAGCTTTGGTCAAATCAATTTTTGTGAAGAACTTATCTTCTTTTAGTTTCGCCATCACATCCTCAACATTACCCATTGGTTCTGTATCAAACTTTGTTGCAGAGTTGAGTCGCCTGAAGTCAATACAAAAGCGGTTTGTATTATCCTTTTTCTTCAACAAATCAATTGGAGAATTATAATCAGAATTTGCTGGTTCAATGATACCACATTCAAGCATTTTCTTAGTTTCATCCTCTACCGCTGTCCTTTTTGCATATGGTTTCGTATATTCTCTAACACGAATTGGCGTTTTGTCAGTCAACTCAGTCTTGTGAAATTCAAGATCTGTAGTTGCAGGAACGTCAGAAAAAATATCCTCAAATTCTTGAAGCAACGGATTTATTTCTGATTTTTGTTCATTAACATTTACATCTCTGTACGTCTCTTTACTCTGTGTGTCTACAAGTTCTAAAAGTTTTTCATCATCAACTACCCCAGTATCATAGGCATTTCCTAAAAGTAACCTTTATTAATAAAGGTATCGATTTCATCGATTTACCAAGTATTTTTCGTGATAAACGTGTCACTAATTCAGTTCCTTTATACTTCAAAAACTCCGAGATACCAATTATTTGCTATAAATATAAGAAACCTGTTAGAAATATCATATTTAATTACAACAAAGTGGTTTCTGACTTGGATATTCAGTCTAATACTCCAACTACTTGAGACTGCAATACTTCTAAATTCTGTAATTCAGATTTTGGCCATATAATCACTGGTAATTTTGATATAATTGCAGACAAAAGAATTCGTAACTTATTCTTGAAAGGACCTAAATACAGAATTCCTTCTGAGATTGATTTTAATGCTTGTCGTGGTCAGATTGCTGAATCTATAGAGGATTTTTCGGTCAAATGGTGTCGCCGTGAAAATGCGGATAGTAATGCTCTAGTTACATGGAAACGTAACATCTTTAAAATTATTGATTCACGTATTAATTTTTATCGTGGAAATGAACATCTTTTGCCACCTAAACCAAGACTTACTTTAAGACATCTGAAAAAAGATATTCTAGCTTT